AAAAATTTTTTTCTAGTTTTTACTCATTCATGGATGAATAAAAATATAGAGCAACTGATTTTTATTTGGTGGCATATGTACATTGTGCATTTAATATCAACCTCAAAGCTTTTTTGATTGTAATCCTTTATTCAATAAGAAGAGTTTCTCAGTGATGTCTTCAAAGTAAGAACATTTAAGGAACTCTTTACGGGAGATAATGGACCTTGGCAATGAGCAGGCACTAGAATAACTGATGCTCAGACACTAACTGGATGAAATAAAAATGAACACACTTTCCTCAGATGGCAGTGATACATTGTCCATGGTTTGTACCTGTAGCAAAATAATTCTTATCACTTCCAAATTGCATTATTAAAAATAAACAGCTGTTAGGACAGAAACACCACTCACACTAGCTCAAGCAGTGAGGATTATTGGCCCACATAATTTGGGAAAAACAGGGTTGGAGTGAGCTTTAAATAAACGAGATAGAAGTTCTAATTTTATGTTGTCAGGATCTCCTAGCTCTGATTCTGTAGATCCTCTTCCATTCATCTACTGGTGTAGATGACCTTTGCTCCAGCTCGTAGCGATGGTGACAGAGAAAGCTTTTTGTGGAGGAAGATACAGTGACAGCTTTAGAATCACGTCATTCCAAAGGGAAGTGAGAAAACTCTCCAGACACCTTCCTCTCTGAAGTAGCCCTGCAAGCTCCTCACTTCTGTCAGTAAGATCTCCATGGGCACTGTTAGCCTCATGAAGGACCATCAGGATTGCGCTGAGGCTGGTCAGTTATTTTACTGGGACTTGAAATAGATTTGTTAGAATAGACAGGCTACAATCTGGAAGAACAAACAGAACTTCAATGATAGAGTAGCAGTGGGCTGGACAACTTGTCTTTGATATTTCAAGGGTGACCATGTATTCCAAAAGTATAATTTGGGGACCAAAATTGTCAAACAAGTAGATACAAAGATCAAAAGAATCAAAACTATAAGTAACAATCATGAGTAAAATTTGATTCTTTTGTGGGTTGTCAACTATGGTTTCCACAATAATGATTACTGACCCAGTTATAATAATATAATCGAAATGTAAATTTTTATCTAAGATGCTGGATTTTCCAGTGAGGGACGGAACAGCAGATTTATGAACTGTTTCGTTTCTTAGATCAACTAGATTCTGAAATCGGGCAATCCTGTTTTTCTAACTCTGCTGTCTTGTCTACCCTTTCTCCATCTCTGGTATCTTGAATATGGGAATGAATACTAATTGCTAGAAATTTCTGAAATTCTAGGCAGCTAGATAGAATATATTAATTCTGTCTTGGTAATGTTACACAATGTTCATGAAATTAAAGTATCATTTAAATTCTCCCCATACTGATCAGGAAAAAAAATAAGAATAAATTAAAAACAAAAATTAACAGGCAACTATAAATCAGACATTCTGCAGGGGAGGGGGAGAAAGAGGAATCAAAACAGGAGGGAAGAGCACAAAGGACTATAGTGATAGCGCATGAGCGAATTGGTGGTGGGGATTTTACGGGGACTACACCTGAAAGGAGAAAGCATACATTGTACAAAAAGGAAGAATGATGTAAAAAAAAAAAAATATATATATATATAATAATAAAATAAAAATAAATAAATTCTCCCCATAAAAAAAAAGTACCCCTGCAAGTCATTCACTGTTAAATCAACTGGTTCTTTCATAGTCTTTATCATAAATGATCTCATCTACCTATTCGCCCATCTGACGATTGTTTCTTCTCCCCACTACAAGGTGAAATCCATTAGAGGCAGGAACTGCACCTAGGTTGTTCCTTGTGTCACCTCTGCACCTAGCAGGCCCTCAGGAAATAGTGAGCCTACAAGTATATGAAATTCCATGGAAGGACTCAGCTCTTGCTGAGCTAAGTGTCATTATGTGGTCTGCCTGGTAGGGTCCTGGGATTGATAGACTTACCAGAAGCTCATGGAATAAAGGACAGTTTCACGCAGGAAGTGGAAACACCGTGAGCTAAAAAATTGGGGGGAAATGCTGAGCAAATGACAACAAAAGTGCCTGTCCACCGTTGATGTGGTTTTCTCTTTAATCACGGTTTACTCTTTCACCCAGAGGCCCCGTCTGCTGAGTAAGCTGCTGCAGATGCTGCAGTGAGTGCAGGTGCCTGACTGAGGGGTCTGAAATCCAGCCAAGACTCCTCCTCGAGGCTTCCCTTTTATAGGAGACCCTCTGTAAATTTACACAAAGGCTCTGCACAGTCTCTGTGTGCATTGGCCCTGGCTGAGTATTTGTCTATCCATCCAACCTTCTGAATAGTTTGTATGACATAAGAATACTAGGAGTGAAATTATGAGCTTGGTGTACCTTTGCTTCTGCGTCCTGCTGGCCAACTCTGTGTGGACTGCGTGCTTAACCACGGCCTGTAAATATTCTCAGATGACTTGTCTTGGGAAATTCCTCTACTGTCTTCTCCCCCTAAATTTTAGGTGACTAAATGGTGATATAGATACTGTCATTTTTCTTTCTTTTTTTATCTACATTTCCCTGCCTTTCCATCTTGATCACCCTGATAATTCTGCTTCAAAAGGAAGAAGACACTGCTTATATCCATTGTGGGCCCTTCAGTGGAATGGGCTTGTCTTATAGCTCAATCCCTGGAAGTTTGTTTTGTATTTTGTTTGATTTAAGACCTCTAAGGTGGTGAAATGCTCACTCTTTAAGAAGAGAGGACTAGGTCGAAAGAGGTAATCCACTAAGTCTGACTCACATAAGACTGCAGGTAATTTTATAAATTCCTGGTGTAAGGCTGAGTCTCTCATTATGTTGAAGGTTCTCAGGGAGCTATTCTGGGTGTCTCTCTCTTCCTCCAACTAGCTGGTTTCTCCTCTGCTTCACTCTGGCCATTGCTTCTATTCACTTGATTTTCTTTCAACATGGACTTTATCTATAGATCAGCCTGCAAGTGGCAAAATGGTAACTAGCACTTCACCTACTCGTTCGATTTTTAGTGCAAATCCATAATAAGTCTATATAGTACTTACTGGGGAGCTTCAAAAAAATGAGATTTGGGCCTTCCCAGTGGTGCAGCGGTTGAGCACTGGGCTGAGAAGCTGCCCTCAGCCTCTGCAGCACCGGTTCGATCCCTGGCTGCCAGAGAGGGTCCCACATGGCACGCAGACCTCTCCTGCCGTCCGCTGCTCCCCTCAGCAGTGTATTTCGTCGGTCTGCCTGTTCTATTCCCCGCTCTGGCTCTGGTGTATTCTCTCACCTCCCCCGCTTCTGACTATACCCAGTGCTTGTATAAATAAATAATAAATAAATCTTTAAAAAAAAATGAGATTCATGTGTCTCAAACATAGACATTCTGAGTCAGTAGGTGTGGGATTTTAGAAGCTATATATTTTAAATCATAATCGTAAGAGGAAAGAAGGGAAAGTGATCAAATGATGAAATAAATGAGCCAGCCCCCGGCACCTGCTTGCCCCCTGAGTAACCCCTTTTTCTTTTTCCCCTTGGCACTCATTACTATTGATCTTCCTGTCCAAGGAGAGGAGATGGATATTTTCAGGCATCAAAAACAAAACCTGGAGAATAGAAAAGTTTTCATTAAAAGCAGCAGTACAGCAGCAACAGTTCTTGGTCTTGTTTGGTGGGCAGGCAGTCCCACTAGATGCAGGGGCCTTCTACCCTTTGTCAAATCAGGGCCAGATTCTTGATCCTGAATGCACTTGAAAGGGTAAGATAGATCTAGGTTTTTCTGAGAACCTGTCAAACTTTAGCCCCATTGTGACTGACGGTTCAAAAGCCTCTGCATCGAAGTGATCATACTCTCTACCTGGACAGGTGGTGTGTGACCTTGCAGCTTCAGTGCCCATCCCTTTCGTATTAGCTGCTGTTATGTATCTGTATCTCTTAGTTCAAAGTCTTTGGAGACATCTGGCCCTTGGCCAGCCACTTAAGGGCTGGGACTGCAGGTCACAGCACATTTTAGAAGGGCATTAATTGATAAGTGCATAACCAACTTTCTTTTAGTTGGCTTGCAAAGTAGATTAGGTGAATATGAATATTTGTATCCCTTCTCATTTTAGTTATTTCTTCTTTAACAGAGGGATTATATTCCTAAATTAATTATGATTTTTTTTTTGTATTTTAGAACTATGAATATCATGCCAACCTAATTTATATGTGAAATTAATGCCCTGAACAGCACTCAGGATGTTTACTGGTTGTTTTTTAAAGTAATACTATCTGGGTCTCCCTGGTGGTGCAGGCGGTTGAGCGCCGCACTGTGAAGCTGTCTGCAGTCTCTGCGGCGCGGGTTCAATCCTGGCTGGAGAGAATCCCACATGGCAAAGCAGACTTCTCTTTTCTTGCCCGCTGCTCCTCTCAGCAGTGTATTTCTTCAGTCTGCTTGTTCTGTTCCCCACTCTGTCTCTGGTGAATCCTCTCATCCTTCCGCACATCTGGCCTGTACTCCGGTTCTCGTATAAAAATAAGTAAATCTTTAAAAAAAAAAAAAAAGTTAAAAAAATAATACAATCATTGTCTCTTCATACTTGAATAAAATGTTTGTTATATTAAATTGTAAATAAACTAACTTGGCTTGTTATTTAATATGCTTTCAATATAATGCTTTACACACTTACCTTTTATTGTCTATTATATGTGAAGGGTGGTAGCAATATGATCCTGAGATCTCTCTATAGTCATAGAAATAAAACTTATTTAATCAATTTCTCCACTCTAGAGCTTCAGGGACAGTCAAAGACTTTTCATAGGTATAATCATATAAAGTACGCAAAGATAAGACTTTTAACCAAGAGAGCATAAAAAAGTGTGTTTCTGTGTATAAAGCAGCTGTATGGCACAAAGCTGTTGTATGTTAAACTCACACAGTTGTAGTATCAGTACCTTAGGGTTGGTTTATGAACATAATTTATACTTTTATGAAAATATGAAGTATCAAGAGTCAATCTGCTTTCTAAAAATGATTTATTTTTTCTTTCCAGACCCAGTCCCTCTGTGGAACTTCTAAACATCTTTTATTTGTGGAAGGATTTTCTACAGAATGACAGCAACATCTTGATTTAAATTCAGTGTTTGCGTGGTTCTGGTTCACTTGCTCTGGTTTAGGAAGCGTGAGATCTAAGGAGCCCAGGGTCTTTTGCGATGACAATATGACTAATAACACAGGAAAAGCTATTACTGTTAAAGCAAGTGGCGGTTCAAGTAGTGTAGGAGATTTTGTCGACTGGACTTTAAGTTTAAATACAATTCAGTCGGATAAGTTTTTAAACTTACTGTTGAGTATGGTTCCAGTAATTTACCAGAAAAAACAGGAAGACAGGCACAAAAAAGCAATCAGCATTTGGCAAGATGGGTTAGCATCTCCAGCACAGCCATTTAATAATAGAGCTGATCAACACATGGAGTACCACAGTTTCTCCGAACAGCCCTTTCATGGCAATAACAGTCACTCACCAGCAGGGGGCAGCCCAAAGTACGACGACTATGCCAACTATAATTACTGTGATGGAAGGGAAACTTCAGAAACGACTGCCATGTTGCAAGAGGAAGACTTGTCCAGTGATGGTGATGACGATGTCATTGTGGAAACAAGTCAGAAATTACCAAAGGAATCCAGCGGTGTGATGGCGTTGCAAATACTTGTGCCATTTTTGCTAGCTGGTTTTGGAACCGTTTCAGCTGGCATGGTTTTGGATATAGTACAGGTGGGTTTTCATCGTTTTTTAACTTCACGGTTTTGCTGTTGATTGAAGTGTCGAATATTGGTGATGCATCTCAACCATTAAATTGAGCTTTAATTTATCCCTTAGTAAAATGAACCGATAATGACTCTGGTAGAGAATCACCACAATTTCTAGTGTTTTTTGTTTCTTTAGATTTGAGAGAATAATCTCATTCTGACTATGAAGTAGCTCTTCGTGAAATGTTACAATAGTAAAGTAACCAAAAAAATGGGTAAATCAGTTAAATGAAAAACTCAACACGGTTATATTTAACACTTCTTTATTTTTTAAAAGAAAAAATAATATACATTTTTGAAATGAATTCAAACAAGGCAGAGTATCAAATGAAAGACGTGTGCCTTGTTCCTCATCTCCAAACCCAGACTCTCTTCCCCTCCAGATACTACTCTTGTTGAGTTTATTGTGTATACTTGCAGACTTTTTTCTTTGCATATGTGTAGTTTTTTCTAAAGTGAAAATGATATGAGAGATGTATACATATATATTTTACACACCCCTTTTTGCAACTCATTGCTTGGACACCATCCCAAATAAGTAACAAGGACTTTCTGCATTTTAAAATGAATACTTTTGATAGACCATTGTATACATATACTAACATTAACTTATTGATTCTCTTCCATGCTAGTGTTATAATAAATATCCTTTTAATTAGATCTTTTATTTTCTTATGTTAATATTTTCATGGGATTGTTGGGTATTATACATTTAAAGTTTTATGAATAGTATAAAATTGCCTTCCAAAAAGTTTACACCAATTTATACTCCTACCATCAATAGATAAGTCCTTTTATTTTTCCATAGTCTTATCCACATTGCATATTAATGATCTTTTTCATATTTGCCAGTTGATAGGAAAATGTCACCATGTTCTAGCTAACATTTTTTAAATATTATTAATGTTTAATATCTTTTTATATGTTTTGGCCATTCATATTATTTTCTATGAATTTTCTTTGTCTTTTATCATTTTATCATCTTCTTTGTCTTTTATCACTTTGTCTTTTATCATTTTATCAGCCTTTTATCATTTCTTTATTGATTTGTAGGGATTCTTAGTGTGATTTGGTTACGAGCTACCTATCATGTAAGTCGAATAGTTTCGAAAGTAGTAGATTGTCTGACTGTAGCATTTGTTGGCTTTCAGCTCGTGTTCATCAGAGAGGAACACTGCTGTGGGGAAAGGCTGGGTACTTGTCCTACAGTGCCATTTCTTTCATTGTTCACTCCTTAAAAGAAATTTCACATCAGTTGTGACTCTAAGACACTTTTCAACAGATAACACTCTTATCTAAATGGAAAACATAAATAAATAGAAACACAATTTTTCCCCCACGAGATAAAGGATATTAAAAGAACGGTGTTAAGAGGTATATTGAATTTTTGCACAGACTGAAATACTAAAACCGGCACCGAACCTCCTTGGCCACTTGAAATATAGTTGTTTCAAGTTATTATAATAGTATCACAACTATTAAAAGGAATTAGCTGTTTTGGCTAACTTTTTTTCCTGATGAACCAATCATTCTGAAGAAACTGCATTTAACCATAGGATGACAACATCTTCAGGAATCGGGTGTCAGCGTAGAGATTCTTAGTCCGAATAGCTCCAAGCACACTGAGCACATGATTCTGGCAATGTCTTCTTATTTCTTTTTTTTAAAAAAGAAATTTTTTTATGCATAAAAGAACTGGGGTACAGGTCAGAGTTGGCGGGGGGTGAGAGAATTCACCAAAGAGAGAGTGGGGAGCAGAACAGGCAGAATGACTGGAATATACTACTGAGGGGAGCAGTGGGCAAGGCAGGAGAGGTCTGCTGGGCCATGTGGGTAGCTCTCTGACAGGCCAGGGATCGAACTCATGCTATAGAAGCTGTGGATAGCTTCACAGTGCTGTGCCACCAGGGAGGCTCTGTCTTCTTATTCTTGATGCTGTTGGAGAGAGCAGCACATGTATTTTGGGAAAAGCTCCTTTCATGGTTTTGTGAACTTCAACACTGCTGCCCTGATGACTTTATAATGTTAAGCTTCAGTGTTAAAAAAATTTAAAAACATCACATAAATCCTTTGAAGGATTTTTTATCTCCAGGTGTTTTTAAAAATTTTAATTGCAAAATTTAACACATGTACAGCATAAAAACCAAAAATGTACAGCTCGGTGAACTTACATGACAGAAGCAGCCATATAAACTATCACTCAGGTCCAGGGTAGACTTCATCCGTCTCCCTGCACTCCTTTCTATCGCTACCCGCTCTGCCTCCCATGACTGCAGAGAGCCACGAGTCTGCTTTTATGAGAAGCCCTTCCTTGCTTTTTTTTCTTTTTGTGTTAGTTTTGGTAAGTTGTTTATTCATTGAAATTTATTCATGCCAGGCCTCCCTGGTGGAGCAAGGGTTTAAGACACAACCTATGAAGCAATCTGCAGCCACTGCCAAACGAGTTTGTGTGGGAGCCAGGCAGCTACCCACATGGCAGGGCAGACCTTCCCTGATTCGCCCGCTGCTCCCCTCAACAGTGTATTTCAGTCAGTCTGCCTGTTCTGTTCCCCACTCTGTCTCTGGTGAATCCTCTCACCCCCACACACCTCTGGCCTATACCCCATTTCTTCTATGCATAAATAAATAAATCTTAAAAAAAAGAAATTTATTCATGTCCTCTCTACTTCAGTTACTGTCCATTTAAGTTCTAGATTTTTTATTTGACCTTTTCCCAGACATGTCCTTACACCGCTTTATGATTTCTGATTTTCTGCTCAAAGTTTCAATCTTTTATTTCCCTCAAGACGAAAAGCAGATTTAAATCGTAGTGCTCCCCCTGAGGGTGGATACACCAATATCCAAAACCTCTGTGAGTCTGTTTCTGTATTCTGTTATTTTTATTATTTCTCATTTATGTTGTTTTATCTCCTAATACCAGATTAACCTTTCCCTGTGTGCTGGACACTGTAGTTGAAAAGATTGTAGAAATAATTTTAGGTTTAGGGTGATATCACTTTTTTCCATAAAAGAGTTTTGTTTGCTGTGGCAGGCACCTGGGGAGCTAGAAGTCTGAGAGCTCTTGAATCCATGCCCAGAGATTGAAAGCATTTAAATCTGGGTTGCATTCTTTTGAAGACTAGTCTACTCACAGTTTTCTCTTCATATTAAAGTGGAGATATTATTGGATCATGGTGTGACATATGGCGTCTTTACAGCATCCCCTTTCCCTTCCAACTCTCCTTGGCAGGTGTGGGTGTCCACTTTGGCCATCCTAGTCCCCCGAGTGTCTGGACACTAATGAGCCTTTCGGCCTTCTCTAGAGCCAGCAAATATCTCCTTGAAAAAGCAGGCTGAAACCTCAGTCTCAGCTCGCTGGGTCTTTTAATTTTCTGTTCTTGGATCTGATATTTGTTCACTCTTCTGTTAGGTCCTTGTAGTATGTGTGCCTTTATGACTGCTCTTGTGGCCTTCTTCCCTGGCTCACGTTCCTGTTTTTATTAGAAAAGTAAGCATTTTCCAAGGCTCTGTCCTTAGACTTCTCTGCCTCTACTTTCTCCTTGTCAAAAGGACCCACTTCTGTATTGACAGAGAACTAAAACTTTAGGGGTGGCTACTCTTAGCTTACTGGAAAATGAGCCTGGGGAACATTTTGGTAGTTTTAATTTTCTTGATAGGCCTGCTGATTATGTAACATGTTCGTGCTGTGACCATCTGTGGAGCTGTGCTTTTATGATCTTTACTCTGTGCTGTCAGTGTGTACTTTACCTCATTAAAAAGCACAAAGAAACATAAAAATAATTTATTGCAATAGCAATAGGAAATTAATCTATGGTTTACAAGACTGTGTAGCAACTAGTCCATGTCTCCCTTTCCAAGCTCTCCCGGTCTACTTTTTACCCTATTTAGTGTGTGGTGTTTTTTTTTTTTTTTTTTAAGTGTTATTTATTTATTTATACAAGCACTGGGTACAGTCAGAAGCATGAGAGTGTGAGAGAATTCACCAGAGCCAGAGCGGGAAACAGAACAGGCAGACTGACGATGAAATACAGTGCTGAGGGGAGCAGCGGGCGCGGCAGGCGCAGCAGGAGAAGTCTGTCGCGCCATGTGGGACCCTCGCCGGCAGCCGGGGATTGAACCTGCGCTGCAGAGGCTGCAGGCAGCTTTGCAGCCCAGCACTCAACCGCTGTGCCACCAGGGGAGGCCCTATTTAGTGTGTTTTAACCTCATTGGTCTTTCTTTAGAGCCTTGGATGTACCATTGTCTATCATGTCTTGTGGTCTTTGCCTAGAATATTATCTTTCTCACTCAGAATTCAAACAACTTTTTAGGTCTCATCTTAAATGTCACTTCTTTGAAAACTTTCTCTTATCCCCCAAGTTAGGTCATTAGTTTAAGTCTTCTATAGGATACTTGTCCCAGCAGTGACATGTTGTTGTTTTTTTTTAACTTTTTAGGTATGTATGTTTAACCATACATATCTAGCAGAGCATCAAGTAGTTTCTTGACAAATATGTATTGAATAAATGTTAACAATTGTTAGTTACTCATGTTTTTATAGGCCAGGTAGGCACTGTACCAAATCCTGCTTATTTTATCTGTATAAGAAAAGTATAGAATAGATATTATTATCTTCATAATATAAAATAAAAATATCTTCATCTTATAAAATGCACACTTTACACTATTAAATGATAGATCTGGGGCTCACATCTTGGTCTAACTTCGATGTCCTTTTAGCCACCACAGATTTCCCCTGCTATCCGAAAGTAGAACATTCTTACTTGGTTTGATTTGGTATTTTAGGGTTATTTTAGGGATCTGGGAATGTTAACAAATTTCCATGTAGGTTAATGGTAATAGTGTTTCCCAGACCCCCAAAATAATTTGACAAATCATATAAAGTAGGAATGTTCTACTTTTAGATAGCAGGGTAAACCTCTGTACACGAGGTACCTTGTTAATGCATATGAAAGCGTTTGTAATCTTTTGAGAGTTATGGGTGAGCATAAAATAATAGAGTTCAGGACCAGTTTTAAAGGTTAAAAAGATAGAATTTGCCTTTGGTCTAAGTCCATATGGACTGCAGTAACAAAATACTATAGACTGATTGACTTAAATAAGAGACATTTATTTCTTACAGTTCAGGGAGCTGGGAAGTCCAGGATCAAGGTACCAGCCTGTTCAGTTCCTAATGAGCAAATATTCCTGGTTTGCAGCTGGCTGCCTTTTCCATACATTCTCACCTGGTGGAGAGAGTGAACTTTGGTACCTGTCACTCAACCTCAAAAGGTAGTACTAACCCTATGAGATTAGGGCCTCACCCTTTTGGCCTCATTTAACCTTTATCACCTCCTCAAAGGTCCTATCTGAACATACAGTCACCTTGGGAGGTAGGGCCTCAAGCTGTATCTTAACTATGGAGGGGATACAATGTGGTGCATGGCAGGTGCTGCTACTTGTGCTGCCTTAGCTGGATCATCAAATTCAGGACATGAGTTAAATGGCTATTAGTGTCTAAAGGTAGTATTCTAAGATGTCACAGGCGGTCGGCTGGGGTAGATTGCATGGCCAATCTTTCCCTCCTATTTAATAGGACATACACTCTCTCTATTATGAAAGGCCTTCTCTTCCCTTGACTCTCTGCTTTCAACTTTTCTTCTTCAATTATCAGTCAGCTTGGAGTTGTCCATTGATGTTTTCTGGAAAAATATTTCAGTATTACCTGTTTTGAGTTGAAGGAATAATTCCAAGATTGAGCTTTGTAGATAGGAAATTGGTAAGGGTTCAGAGAGAGCAAATACAGGGTAGGTTTTCAAATTTAGAATGTTTACTCCGAAGTGCAGCCCTTTTTGTGTTAATGGGGAATACAAATACATAGATTGTAACTCTAGTATATGGCTGAATATATACATTCCTTTAGAGGTAAAGTATCAGTGCTATAGGAATTCTATAGAAGTTCCAAATGCTCTTTAGGAATACAGAATACCTACTTTTATATATTCATTCTTAGCCAAAGGAGTAATCTTGTTTCAACCTAACCTATCCTTGTGTGTTCGTGTCTTATAATATCCCTTTACTCATTCTGGACCTCGAATTAAAGAACTTAGTAAAGTTTAATGAAAAAAGTAATGTAGGTTTACTTGGTAGAGTATGTTTAAGCCGTATGAAAGAATGAGTCATGGAGAAAGAAGTCCTTCTTCTCCCATATTCTCCCTTCCCTTGAAATTACTGGGACTATTTTTTCTGTCTCCTGCAGTAAACATTAAATACATATATATCATATATAAACACAGATGTATCTATCCCTACGTGCGAGTATATATATAAATATATATACATATATGTGTTAAATATATTGCTTAAAAACATAAAGCAGCCTGTGGTTCTGCTCTTCATCTTGCTCTTGATTTATCCGGGAGCTCATGTGTCATTATACACGGATGTACCAAATGCTTCTCCAGCTGCCTGATGCTCTATTGTAAGGATGGATCATAATTTTTCTACTAAGTTACCTAATGGAGATTTAAATTGCCTCAGATCTTCTGCTATTATGAACAATAACGAGGTAAACTCATTATATGCACTTGTTTGAACTCATGTGCAATTTTATTTGTAGGCAGAATTCCTTGAGGGAGAATTCTGAGTTGAAAATTATGCATATTTTGTATTTGATGTTGCTATAGTCCCCAAAGTAGATAAACCCTTGTATTCTCTCCCTTAGTATAAAAAGTGACAACTTCCTCATGCTTTAACCAACAGAGTATTATCCCACTTTTTGATCTTTATCAATGCCACAGATGAAAATTGATCACTTTTTAATTTGCTGTTCTGTAATTATGAATGAGGTTTGTCATTTTGCCGTGTCTAAAAATGAAAGGGTTTAGTTTTTTAAAGTAAGTGAAAATGAGAAATGAAACTCTTCTGGATTTCTGGTATGTTTCTTAAAATTGCCTAAAATTCTTTTACCAAATATATTAAAAAAAAAAAAAAACATTTTGTGTAGTTAGGGCTCCATGGATGTGTTTATGAACTTATTTTCTTAACCTTATTTTTTTAGGTTTCACTTTTGTTTGTCCTTTTGGGCATTAATAATACATGTTTAAGTTTTGATTGAGTACCTACGCAGGCAACTTGACATGCCCAAGTGTGTGTGGGTGCTTGCCTGGGATCGGATAGTACCAGAAGCACACAATTAAGTAGGATTAGAAGTTGATTTAGGGCAGGTTCTTGCGGAAAATTAGCAGTTCATAGTCATCTATATAATCTCAGGGCATGTCTGTATCATGGCAAAACTCGTGAATAGTTGTATTTATTTTCTGCACTGATGGCCTGGACATCTTCTTCCTGGACTTTAAAAGCCTTACTGCCCCTGACAGGATAATCAATTGATAACATGTCTGGGTGTTTGTTACACATTCAGCATTGTTATTTGTCACTGTTTATGGTCACAGTCCTGAGCACAACTGTATGAAGTAGAAACAATTGTGTTCCTATTATAGATGAAGAGAGTAACGCATTGTTTGCTTGGCACATGGTAAATGTCGTATAGGCAGAATTTTAACCCAGGTAGATGTAATGTGGGGTGGGGGGGAGTTGGAAAAGAGATTTTTAGAAATATCTTTTTTCTGAAGTGCTTTTAAAGGCGTGTCAGAAAATTCTTTTTTTTCTTACAGCATTGGGAGGTGTTCAGAAAAGTAACAGAAGTTTTCATTTTGGTTCCTGCACTTCTTGGTCTCAAAGGGAACTTGGAAATGACATTGGCATCCAGATTGTCCACTGCAGTAAGTTTTTTTCTACCTCAAAATCTGTATGTTACCTTTAGTGTTTCTATTCCGGAGACTTGTATCAGGGGCAAAATAATTCCCTGTCTAATAAATTTCTGTATTTCAGATCTATGCTAAGTAGTTATGTTTGACCTCATTTCCTGAAAGTTTTCTGGGTTGTCTAATTTGAGAATTATGGACCCTTTATCCCAAAATGAAGTGCTGTATTTGCCTCTTTTTATTCCAGCACTTTTTGTTAATTATCATCAGTGCTTAAGATATGGAGCAAATCTGATTTTGATATTCTTTATGGGTTCAATGGTTGGTTGATTGGTATTAAACTATTTTTGTGATTGTAAAAGTCATCCATGCTTATTGTAAAAACTGAAGAAAAGGGGGAAAGTATAAAGTAGAAAATTTAAAATTACCCCTCAATTCTTCACTTAGCCATAATCACTTAATATCATAGTATAGATTGTTCTACACCTGGATAAGTTATAGACATCCATTATTCGGTATACCACAATATACTGTATAGTCTAAAAAAGATCTGGAATCACATTTGCTTTTATAATCTGTGATGTCCATTTAAAAACATATCATGATCATCCTTCCATATCAGTAAAATGTAGATCTCTGTCATTATTTTTATTACTTTTCTGTTGTAGAACTCTACTGTAGTATTATTCATCACCTATTATTGGATGTATAGATCTTTCTAATGTTTTGATATTGTAAATGATGTTGTAATGAATATTCTTATCTTTACAGTTTTGTATTTTTTTAAAGACAAAATCTAGTGTTGTAATTACTTTTCAGAAAAAAAATGCATATTTTAAGGCTTTAGGCAAATATTGCTGAATTGTTATCCAGAAAAGTTAAACTTTTTTTAAAAAAACTGCCACTGGCAGGGTTCTGGGTTATTTTTTTGGAAGACCAGAGGACACTGTTTTGTTTTTTCCCCACTGTAACAATCTTTGGGAATTCACCATTGTGAAACCATTAGCTACTGAGGTTCACTTCAACGAACCATCTGCACATTGAATGTTAGCCAGAAATTAACTCAGTCCTCAGAGAGCATTACTAATTGCTGTGTCTTTAGGGTAATGAAGTTCTTTTTTTCTTTAAAGATGCTATAAAAAGTGAATCCATCTATGAACTAGGGGAAAAATTTGTGTAGACTATTGATGTGGAGATGTGGAGACGGAGCAATTGTGTCGTGGATTGGAGCACCCACTCCCATTTCTAACCCCCCCTCCCTGACCCTCCTTCTTCCCCCAGATAACTGCAAATTCCCTAGCATTACTTGAGTAAAGCTGATGTTTGGAAAGGAAATGGATTAAAAAATTTATTAGCATTATTGGTTTGCTCAGTTAGGAGGAAACGCTACATCTGCCCTATGGAACTTTCTAAATCCCTCCAGAATATATAATAGGCTATATTCTTCCCAGGACAATAATGAGATATAGGGTATTAATGAGATTTCATAATGTGCTAGGCCATGCACCAACTACTTAAAGGATATCTTAGGACAATCCTAAGAGATAAGCACTGTGATACCTGTTTTACAGATGAAGAACAGAGGTTTGGAAGAGTTGTAACTTTCTTGAGCACACTGAACTAGTATAAGTACAGTAAGTCACATTCCGTAACATTTCCTTTAACCTGCACAGGATAACTGTGTTGGAGTTAATAAAACTGACAAATAATAGCAGTAACAAAAATATAGCAGCCTCCTGTTCTGCATTTTAAGGGTGTTTTTGTAAGGTCTTGGTCTTAGCACCAATACACAATATTTTTGGTATTTAATATTTTAAAACTTTTTTGATATTACTAAAAACTATTATTTGTGGATATAGCCCTGCTGCTTGTCTCTGTAGTTATTGGTGAGCTAGAGATGATGTATGGGGATATCAACTAGTCGCTAAGGTAGAGCCAAACCTCATTGAATCTATAATTTTGCTTGCAATTGATGTGATTGTTCAATATTAAGAAGACTAGAGAGTGATAAAAATTAAAGCCCCTTGGGCTGGAGCATAAAAGTGCAAGATGAACCTGAAATATCTTCTAGAGCCAGAAAGGAAAGAAATGGTATTTTCAAAAGATGGGGACATAATAAAAAAAATACAGGGTAACATATTAGCCAGGTCTAGGACAATTCAAGCCACAAAATTATAGCTACAGATTATAAAGAATCCATTACTTCATAAATGATTTTTTAAAAAAATGCTGGCAAGGTCCCTGCTGTGGTAGAATTTTTTACATAAATAATTTCAGATATTGATAAGGACAGTGAAAATAAAAATAAAACAGGACATTGTGAAGAAGGGGAATCACTAGGACTACTTTATATTAAGTGATTAGGGGAGACTTCCCTGAGAGTATACACAGCCAGATGTGACTTTTTCTTGCCCCAAAAGCCAAATCTCTGAACCCGGGAAATGTCTTTCCCCAAAGGAGTTTATTACATGAGGCTGCCAACAAGGCCGATACCCTAAAAGTAGCTGGTTCCTCAGTGGAAGGGTGTTGTGATTATATACGGAGGAAGGAATGTGAAGATGTGAGGGATGAGGAGGTGCTGGGCGCCATAGGCTCCTGAATTGCAGTGTTTATCTTCTTCATCAGAGAGTGTTCCTTTGGGGTGAACCATAGACGCTACCCTGGTGTTATCAGCTTGGGAGGGGCACAGAGGATTTTGCTAGAAGTAGTGCACTATCAGCTGTCAAGTTTCCAGGAATGCAGCTGGAGAATAAATCTCAAGTGTGGGCGGGGTGAGGGAGAAAGAAGACAAGGAGGCTTGGTATTTGATTCTGCTTAGTTTGACTTTTCTAACAAAAAAGGGAGAATCTGGCTACAAGAGGTGACATATAAGCTGGAATCTGTGTAATTTTTTTAAAGATTTATTTATTTATATAAGAACTGGGGTATAGGTCAGAGGTGCAGGAGGGTGAGAGGATTCACCAGAAACAGAGCGGGGATCAGAACAGGCAGATGAACCGAAGACACTGCTGAGGGGAGCAGCAGGTGAGACAGGAAAGGTCTGCTGCGCCATGTGGGTATCTCCCTGGCTGGCCGGAAATCGAACCCGCGCTGCAGAAGCTGTGAACAGCTTCACAGCGCAGCACTCAACCCACTGCACCACTGGGGAGGCCCCAACCTGAGTAATTTTAAGTGGGTCAGCCATATCAAAATCTGGGGAAAGACCAATTCTAGGTAATTATGTCTCCTCAGCATATGATTTCAGTGTAATGTCAAATATTTATAAACCGTCTAGACAGGTTCACGTATAACAGGCCTGAGGCAAGAATACAAACAGATGCCCCTAAAACATGTCTATATAGTTAAAATTATACAACAAATTGACAAAAAAAGTCTTCCTACTGTGGCATATATAGTATTATGAAGAATTGGAAGTCCAAAACTAAGTTTAGGATGCTTGTACCTCTTGGGCTCTGTTTTGGAACATGGAGTTGTAGAAAGAGACAGTCCAGGCCTGAAGCGTTACTCTCCCACCCTCGGCCTACTTCAAAAGACCTCACACATATCTGAGACCCCGTATCCAGGCTCCATCTAGACCCGCAACAAGCAGCCATCCCTTGAGTACTCTCTGGGCTGGGCATGCACCTAGCTGTGGCCTTGTCTGTCTTCAGGTAGCTTGACCTGAGGAAGAGGCTCTGGCACTGGACTCCAGGCCACTTGGTCCGAGAACTTTATCTGAAACAGAACCTAGCAGGAGAGGAGGCACAGGCTTTGAGTGGGCACACCCTCTTGGGCCCTGTGCACACCCACCATGTGGGGTGGGGCATAGCTAGAGGAGGGCCGAAGTGGGACCCTTTAATCCATGGGTCCTAGTGCTGAAACCCTCTTCCCAAGATTTAGAATCCTACTGAGTCTAGATTCCAAGAGTGAAAACCTCGTTTGGTCTAAAGAAAATTACATGACGGGGCCTCCCCTGGTGGCGCAGTGGTTGAGCGCTGGGTTGCGAAGTTGCCTGCAGCCTCTGCAGCGCCGGTTCAATCCCCGGCCACTGGGTGAGGGTCCCACATGGCGCGCAGACCTCTCCTGCTGCCCACTGCTCCTCTCAGCAGTGTACTTTGGTCCTTCTGCCTGTTCTGTTCCCCGCTCTGGCTCTGGTGAATTCTCTAGCCCTCCCGTGCTTCTGACTGTACCCAGTGCTTGTATGAATAAATAAATAAATCTTTTAAAAAAAAAAAAAAAGAAAATTACATGACATAGAAGGTATTTTGAAGATGCCTTGTTACATACTTCTGTACTACAGGAAAGCAAAATGGAAGAAAAGTTATATATTAAAAAGAGGTGCTTCAGCTCAATAGCCTTAATGTTGTATTCTGAGGGAAATAGTCACCGGACCTAGTAATCAGTGGTGGCACACAAAGAAAGTTGTTCTTTTACTGAACCTTCTTAAGTAATGAAGTGAATGTACCTTGAAGAGTATAAATATTCTCACATTTTATCTGCTATAATGGTTTGGTCATTCTACTCTTGAGAAAATACTGAAATTAGCATGGGGTGCAATAAAAGCTAAGATAGGGATGGAAATTCATTACTTTTTTAATGGTATCTTGGAAGTCAGATACCTTGTACCATTGTTACACTTTTTAGATCTAAGGCTCAAGTACAAATTTTTCTCAAATGGCTGTGCAGCAGTAAAGATAGGTTAAAATATTAAAATTTAAAAATAAAAGTTAAGGCAAACATTATAGACTCATATGAAAATATTTGGAAAACATCATTATTAAGCAGTTCATAAAACTTCAGCTTGTGGAATTATTTCAGTGAAATTGATTTGTTACTATCAACCAAATCTTCAAACCTAAGAAGTAAAGAGGAGATTTATTTTTTCAATTATTATGTGCAAGGAAAGAAAGCCAAACAAACTGGTCACACCATCATTCTCAGCAGTACCTAGACTGGCAGAATGAGCCAGGAATGATCAATACCTTCATTCTCAAATGAAAGCTGCATCCATCTAGTTTTATAAATATGAAGCACCGTTGGACCATATGATCTGTCTGGCAGCTCTCAGTGCTCAGAAGTTATTTTTTAAAAGTGTAATAATATGTAGTAATAAAAAAAATTTAAACTTTGGTCTAATTTCACATTGGTGTCAGCTGAATATTGATCTTAACCCATGGCCATTTGGCATCCAGCTAGAATGTACGTCAGGGATTTGTCTGGCTTTGGCCTTAGAAATCTAAGGAACACTTTTTAGGTAATTTTACTGAGGATTTAGTGAAATTACGTACAGGTGTCTGTCTGCTGTATTTCCTCTGTCATCTACACTTGCGCTATATTTTAAGAACTGGTGGTCGCCAAGGTGGAACTCAAGCCAGGGGCCTCTGGGCAGGAGAGGAGAATAAAGAGGACTTGAAGCTCCAAAGTGGCACCATTTAAGGAAGAAGAAAGTTAATTAGAATGAGAGTTAAAAGGTGACTTTAGTCTCCTTTTGTTGGAAAATGAACTTTGTAAACTTTGTTCTGATAGATAGTACTAAGCACACAAGCATTTCAGCAACTTGATAACTTTGCCAGGGAAAACAGAAATTTTGGCTAGCTTACCCCAAAGAAAATATTCCTAACAGCAACATTCTTAAATATTATCCAGCATTTCTATATAGTCAAATAATACTTGAAACGTGCCAGCCCATTTTGAAATAGGCCTCATTATCAAGAATCTGGATAATAAAGACGAGGGTAATGAATAGTTCCCTACTGAAATCCCACACCTCACAGACTATCCTCCACTTGAAGTCTTTAGCCTCGACGTGCTTCATTCTTTCATTTCCCCCATTTCTTCTTATTTTACATTTTCAGTGTTTTTTTTTTTTCCTTCTTCTTTGCTCATCCTGTTGCTTTGAGGCTTGCCTGACGTTTTAGTACCTTGTTCTGCTTGTCCTCTCTCGGGGATTTCATGTGGTCCACCAATGCGTTCACACTGCCGACTCTCACATCTGCTTTCAAGTTGCTTCCCTGATCCCCAGAGCTGAATTTTCAATTGTCTGCACCACTCACTGCATTCAAAACTAAACTCATTCTCTCCTCTTCTTCCAACATGGTCTATTTTTCTCTATTTCTCATTGGCTTATTAACATTACCAATTGCCTGCCTCGTCTCTCCTTCTATCCAGTTATTGTCTAGACTATAAGTTCCACTTGTGGAATCTCCCTCCCCCTTCTCTCACACTCCATCAGCCACTACCTTAATTTAGCTGCCTGGTGTCTCTGATTGAGTCTCTGTGTAGCAGATTCCTAACTGTATGATTCCAGAGAGAAGGATGAATGTGTTTTTTTTAACTTAAAATAAGTACTTTTGAAAGCTTTTTCATCTTGGTACAAAAAATAATATAAAAGTATTTTTTAAATAATTTTCCTATGTATTATTTTCACTTGTGAAAATAAGAGTAGAATCTATTATAGCTATAGGATGCCAGATGCTTTCATCTTTATGCTCCATAAAGGGTCTTTTCCTGATTCTCTGTGGGAGACCAGGATAAATGAGTTTATAGGATTATAAAGAAGGCCTTGGGTAAGTAGAGAACTTAAAACAGGATAGCAGATACAGCCTACTTAATCTGTGAAGGTCAATTGCCTTTAAAATTTATTATTCTATAAAACGAAAGATTAAATGTTCACAGATAAAAAGATATTTCAATAAAAAGCTTTCCTATTTTAACAAGGGAAATTTAATGATGATGAATCCAAATTAATTTTATCTACTCTCTTATTAGAGTCAAAATTTATTTCTGAAGGTATAATGATTAGCTTGAACAGGTTTCCCTGTTTTTTTTTTTTTAATCTTTTCTACAGTAGATCATTTTATAGTAGACATTACAAATATATTGATATAGCCGTGGCATATAATTGGAAAATAAACCAAGTATAGTGATTCTACAAATTGTTGGGTTTAAGTTCTGTTACCCAAAATCTGAAAATATCCATCTTAACAGGTAAATATTGGGAAGATGGATTCACCCATTGAAAAGTGGAATCTAATAATTGGCAACTTGGCTTTAAAGCAGGTAAGTGATACACGTTTGTTTAGAGATCTTGGGTTTACAGTGCTTGGGTGTTATCTGTAAGAATGGAATGAATTGTAGTAAGATTAAATCTACCATTTCATTCCTTCAGAATACACAGCTCAATAATTTATTACCATAAAAAGTGATGCAATAGATGGATACCCAAGACTTCCCAGCTTTTTCCTCTGCAGATTGATCAGATTCTTCCAAATATGAAAAAATGAGGTTTTTTAAAAAAACATCAAAGTAGAGAAACCTTTCTGGACTTCGTTGTTTTATTCTTTCAAATCACAGTATAGCTTCCACTCCCGCTCCCTCTCCCCCTCACTATCCAAAAGTAGAATGTTCCTATTTGGTATGATTTGGTAGGTTATTCTCCGGGTTTGGGAACGCTCAAAAATTTTTCCACATAAAAATGGAACTAGAGTCCCTAGTTCCAAAAAATAACCTACAAATAGGAATGTTCTGCTTTATGATAGCAGGGGAAACCTGTATTACATTAGAGCTGTCTTATGGTCCTTTTCAGACTGAATTTGTGGGAAAAACCTATGTGGTGTTAATAATCAAAATTTTTAACAGCCAGCAGTGGGCTACATAAACTAATAGATAAATAAAAAATTGAACACATATTCCCTTCTTTAAATATCCTAAATTCTCATTAGGCCGTATGATGAGGTATAGCACATAGCCAATCACCATAACCTCAAGTCCCTCTTTGTCAATGTCTCATGTCAGCAAGGAGGCGTGCGAAACAGGGAGCCCCATGCAGGCCCATCTCCTGATGGTGGTGCCAGCCAGTGAGGCGGTGGGGCCCTGTTCCCTGTGGACAGAAGTAGAAGGGAGGAGAAAAGAGGGACACCCTCAGAGGCAAGGCATTGGGGGTGGTTGTGCTCTCTCTGACTTTTAATATTTAAACTATAGTAACTTTGTAAGGGTAACACAGCTAAATTACCATATGCCATACTTTCTTCTGACTTCTTACATGTATATCGACATCATCGAATAGGAAATGTTTTTTCAAAATGAATAATTCAGTTGGACTGTAAAAAAACTTTTTTTTAGGTTCAAGCAACAGTAGTTGGTTTTCTAGCAGCTGTGGCAGCAATTATATTGGGCTGGATTCCAGAGGGAAAATACTACCTTGATCATTCCATACTTCTGTGCTCTAGCAGTGTAGCTACTGCCTTCATCGCGTCTCTTCTGCAGGGTAAGTGCCTTTATAAATGTCTGTTCACGGTCTCGTACTCTCCAATGATTTATTTTCCATGTTGACTGTTTTTATTTGGATGATATGTGTTCATTATAAGAAGAATAGAAACACGTCATCTATAAATTTTTAAAGTATCTTATTCCAGATATATTTATATCTATTGTATGTAAACCTCAGTGTAGAACAGACATTCTGAGATTTTTCTCCTGACCTGCTGTATCCTGGGACAAGTCCCAAATAAACCTAGATACTCATTTGCTTCTGTAAGTTCAATTAATTGAGAAAATGCCTTTCTGGAAATGATGAAATGATGTAGAGGATTTATTGATTTGTCATTTGAGCAACAAGTATTCCAGGAAACCTGAGTTTCGAAAACAGTCCTTCTGTTAAAGTTTTTGAAGTTTCAGATTTCAAAAATATTTCCTTGATGTTTCTGTAGCACTGCAGATATAACGACAAGCTGGATGCAGCATTTTTGTTAGCTGTAGACTTTTAAAGAGTCAGAGACTTTCTAGCTACATTTAGAATTTTTCGGTTGGGATGTCATTTTTATTTGAACTTCACACTGGAGAACTAGCTAAATATGGAACCATAATCATAAAGAATTGGTTCTTTTCATTTTATAATTGCTGCCACCTCCCTTATATCACCAGTAAAGGTCAAAAGTGGAAGATTCTCATGTCAGGAATCATGACAAGCGAACAAGCTAACTTTCTCTGCCAGTTTCTGGTAATTTAGAGAATCTTATTAAAACTAAAGCAGTGTTTCCAAAAGGTTTTCAAGATTTTGTTTTCATACTTAAATTATATCCGGAATAGTTTCTCATCAGTGTATGGAATTATTAGAATTAAATAGTAGTTGGTGGTGTGAGAAAATCCATACACTTGGCTATGGATATAAATGTTATCATTTTTCTCCCATTTCTATTGCTCAGAAGAATAAGGATTTAAAAGTACAGTTACATTTTCATCTTCTTTCTCTAGTGGTAGGTTCATAGGCAGAAACTTTGGGTTGAAAGGGTAATCTTTCCGGAGTCAGCTTATTATGTTCTGGCCTCCAGTGTTCAACATATGATTACTTTCCTCCTCTTGACACTTCAACACTTTTAAATCATGAAAATGAAGCACCCATTTCTGGTTACCACAACATAAAACAAACCGTTTTCTTGGTCGTCTTCCCAATGGCTATGCCTATTAGTATCACCCACCTTTCTTTATTTGAAGGTTACTTCAATATCTTATTTGAATGTTAAGATAAAATCTTCAGGTTTGATACACACAAATACATTACTTTTATTACCTCTAAGCCATACATGTTATTGAATTTGAAACTTTAGCTTTAATATCATCTTGCAGTTGCCTCTCCGGTTTCTCAACGCAACACTGAATTTCTTAAATCTTCTATGATCTATGGAATTTGTTGAAAGGCATTCTGCCAAAGCATTAGAGTAAAAAGTTTTATTTGGTTTAGTCAGCTTATCTTTGCAGGCTCACTGAAACTGTTATGCTGTTTGTCTAGCCCATATATTTTAGTATTGGGGCATTGATTTTTCTTTAAATCATAACATAAAAGTAATGAGCTCTTTTTATTTTAGGAATTATAATGGTTGGGGTTATCGTCGGTTCGAAGAAGACTGGTATAAATCCTGATAATGTCGCTACACCCATTGCTGCTAGTTTTGGCGACCTTATAACTCTTGCCATATTAGCGTGGATAAGCCAGGGTTTGTACTCCTGTCTCGGTAAGTGCACTTGAAACAAAATATAATGTGTTGCTCTGAGTGTCTTTAAATATATATCATTATGCCGATGCCATGGATTCCTGGTGGCTTCGTCCATATTAGAACTGTGAGGGTCAGAGCTGAGCACACTACCCTTTTGCCATACACGGGTGTTCTGTTGTGATGTTCATCTATTTTTTTTTCTCACTTATTTTTTCTCCTTATAAAGTTGAAAGCTCTGTGAGATAAGGATTATCATCTTTAATTTTAGATGAGAAAACAGACTCATAGAGGTGTTGGATATATATATAACCCACTGCTAGTTAGAAGGTTGAAGACAGCTCATTATATTCTATAAATTCTGCCCTTTCCTCTAAATGTGTGGCTGACAAAGAGCCTGCTGACAACATGCTGATGCTGCATTGCGCTGCTATCCCAGAACACAAGGTTATGGTGCCTGAAATCTAGTGGCTCCCCCACCTCCCGCCCCCCCCCCACCCCATCAGAAACCAACATGGCAATTAACAACAACAAATGATCACCATGAAGGCTAGCCTGAATGCTGTGTAAAGTTGGAGTCATATGCGTGATTCTTGATACAGGGATAGAGTATTTATAGAGTCTAATGAATTGTTTTCAGCAACATACTCAAACTGTCACCAGTGTAAATGGATATGTTTTTCAGCATTGGTTTATGTTATAAGAAGTTGTGCTGTTATTTATTTTTAATGCCAAATTAAGAAAATTAAAAGAAAAAGTAACAGTAATATGAGAAAAAATAGTTCTAAATCTAAGCCCAAAGCAGACATGTATTCATATGTCTTCATATATTTTCTTTTTTTTTTTTTTTTAATTTTTATTTTTATTTTTATTTTTTTATTTATTTATTTATACAAGCACTGGGCACAGTCAGAAGCGCGGGAGGGTGAGAGAATTCACCAGAGCCAGAGTGGGGAGCAGAGCAGGCAGAAGGACCGAAGTACACTGCTGAGGGGAGCAGTGGGCGGCAGGAGGGGTCTGCGCGCCATGCGGGACCCTCCTCCAGTGGCCGGGGAGCAGCCGGGGATCGAACCGGCGCTGCAGAGGCTGCGGGCAGCTTCGCAACCCAGCGCTCAACCGCTGCGCCACCGGGGAGGCCCCGTCTTCATATATTTTCATGGATTCTGTATAGATTTGTGAAATACCTTAAAGTAAATCAAAAGTGCATTCAGCTTGAGAAAGGACCTCAGATTCATGTTTTTGAACTAAAGCAAGGACTTTAGCAACAAGGCAGTCATTTTTCACTGCTTATGGATATATCAAGAGACGCTTCATTTAGTATATAAAGTTACCTTAAATTATCTAATAAACGGCATAAACATATTTAGTAAGGCTTGTATTTGTCCATGGAAAAGTCTCATTTAGCAGATAAGATGTATCCACTTGAAGTCAGGTAGAAAACAATACCTGATCAGTGGCCGAAATTTAGACCTTGGTTTTCACTTGGTTGTGGAATAATTGAGAATTGACATGTTCAGGTATAGTCGGGATAATGTCCAATTCCTTTCTCTCCCTACCCCCCAGAAAAAAAGCACAAAGAATGAATCATGTTGTTAAAGTAATCTGCTCTAATTTATATTATTGTGATGATAATTGGGTATACTTTCTGCCTGTGAACTAGTTACACAATTTAGAAGTTGATGCTGGTCAGGGCTTGAAATGCTAGCTTATGGCTCGTATTAGAGAATGCAGTTTGATAGTCTCCTCCTACTCGATTAAGCTCACTTGCCTGTCGCAGGCAGACAGCTGGGCAACTTGCAGGCCTCGCCACCTTAGAAACCAACCACCATTTCCCAGGTGGGGCAGGGAGACTATGAGTTAATCGTGCTTCGTGCCTCTCTCCCTAGTCGGGCCAATTGGTTCTTCCTTTCCCACTTTGGGGAGGAGGTAAGGAGAATGGAAGTGCAGAGTAGTCGAGGGAGAAGGGTCTCCCCCTAATGTTATTGAGGGCAGAAGTTCTAGGGTCTGGCCAGGAGGATACTGATGGGGGTGGCGGGATGGAGAGTAAGTATTCGTTCAGGGATTGGGCTCCCCTACATTAAAAAAAAGTATTTATTTGCACACTTGAATATTTAAATCACCATTAAGTCATTTGTAGCACAATTCTCAGGTGCTTGGTAATACAGACTATCTCATCAGTTGAGGTGGTAAGAAAATAAGAGAATGACAACCATTGTAGTGATACAGAATAATTATTTGATTCCAGAAGATAATTCAATTTTCAAAGAAAATAATGGGTGCTGACCTTTGAAATTTTATTTTAAAAAACTACATGAGCACCTCCCCTGGTGGCACAGTGGTTGAGCGCTGGGCTGCGAAGCTGCCTGCAGCCTCTGCAGTGCCCATTCGATCCCCTGCCGGGCAGCGAGGGTCCCACATGGCGTGGCAGAGCTCTCCTACCGCGCCCACTGCTCCCCTCAGTAGTGTATTTCGTCCTTCTGCCTGTTCTGTTCCCCGCTCTGCCTCTGGTGAATTCTCTCACCCTCCTGCGCTTCTGACTGTACCCAGTGCTTGTATAAATAAATCTTTAAAAAAATAAAAAAAACTACATGAGCCATAAACTTCCCTTATAAAAGACTTAGCCATAATGTATTGTATAAAATTTTCAGCATTCTGCATATTATAGATGATATACCAGTACTTTAACTAGTTCAGGAAATTAAAATGTGAAATGGAATGATACCATCACAGATCACAATTTGGAAAAATATAATTTTATTATAAAATACTGCTTGGTTGCCTTGTCTCCTAAAAGTTGACAGAAAGTAATTCAAGATGAATTAATTAAAATAGGATATTTTATGTTTAGTCTGTATCATGTTTCCCTAAAATGGCATTTTTATTTATTTTTTAATGGCATTTTAAAAAATGGGCTACCAGTTGTTTGTTTCCAACATTAATTTAGCAGGTAAAGGTGTTTCTGAAGTCCGTGTTTGGGTTTCTGTTGTGAACGCTAGGGGTCCTCAGAAGACCAGCAACTGTGAGCCTAGTGTAAGTGGATTCTGAAAAAAGATTAAGAAAAGGCACATTAAAATCCCATTCATCCTGCTGAGATGCCTAGTTCTTGGAAACAAAGTTGAATTCCTGAACGCTTAGCAGTTTCAAGAGATTATAAAGAAGATTTCATGGCAGCTTGAAATTGGTTATAAATAGAGGCCTTGTCAGTATAAGCTCGCAAAAAAGTGGATGTTGAAAACAGTCTCACTTACCTGTTCACCTAGCGTTTTGACATTTGGAAATGACCTTAAATAGCTCTCCTCGTGTCTGCTGGTTTTGGTGCGCGTGCTGAGGACTTGCTCTCTATTCATTCAATGTGCTACGTTTCCTTTAGTCCTGGTAAAATTGCTCATTTCTGATATCTGAAGCAAATGCAGGATTTCCCTCCTCACTTCTGCAGTTCTCTGTATATTTTTTAAAAAGCCCAAAGCCTCCTATTGATTTCATATTTGTAGTTGCCCCATGAAAGTTAGTGTTCAAGTCCCTGGAGTCTGCAAAACTTACTTCACAAGGTCCTACCTGCTCCAACCTTTCTTAAACCTTTTACTCCAGATTCTGCCATGTACTGATTTTCATACACCGTCTGTGATTTTCCCCTTTTTTTCTTATGTTATCTCCCTCCTGCCCATGAGGCCAGAGTCCTCACTTCTCAATGCTAAGTTCATAGGGCCCCCTCATCTTGGATGACCCTTTTCTTCCCTGAATCCCTAGAGCATATCATCGACCCTTCCATGATGATGCTCTTTACCTTGACCACATTGGTCGTTAACACTTTTAACGGAAGCTGTAGTATGTTCCCCTACGAGGGTTTAAGTTTCTTGAGGACAAAGCTGCTTTTATTTTATTTACATTTTCTGTAGCGTTCCACAGTGCCATATATATAGAGAGAGGATGCTGAATAAATAGGACTTTACCAGATGCTTTGTTCTTTTTGAAAGCTACCCAATTAATGGGAGTAGAAGTTATTTAGGGAGGAGTAGGTCTTGGAAAATAGAAGATATGTATCCATCTGAACGATTTTGCAGTAGTGTCCAATAACATAATAGATTGTCACCAAAAAAAAAAAAAAAAGGACCCTTTCGATGAGGACATAGTATCAGGAACATACTGGAAGGGTATCTTGGTTAGTGAAAGGTATCTGGACATTAGTATTACTGTAGCAAAGTAAAAATGGCAACATATCACTAGAAAAGATCTATTTTAAGTGCAAGTAGAAGAGGAAATAAAAGTCAGTGACTTGTAGAGAAAATATAAAGGCATTTATTCAGCCTGTACATGATCTTTAAACATGTAATCTTCAAAAGCTATGAAGAGAATCTAAGGTTGGACCAGTAACTGCAGTCTCTGTACATAATGATTATTGCCCTTTTTCTTGTCTACATATTTTAAGAGAATTTTTAAAACTTTTTCAATTTTTATAACCATATGGCTATATAATTCTTGTATGTATGTGATGTTTATTGATTTGAAAATTATCAGCTTTTCATTTTTTTTTGAGACAGGATCTGAGAAACAAAATGTTGATTTCTTTCTTCAAGGTTAACTTTAAAAAGATGTCTTCATTGAAGTTATAAGAACAATAGCAACCAGCCTCGGGTTATTTTAGTCCTGTGGAGACTAACAGGAATGACACCTGGTTATTTCCAGAACATTCTAAATATCACTGCCTTGAAGTGGTGATGTGAGCAGAATCTAAATTTATTTTTCAAATCACTCTTTAGAGATTTTTAGCAATGTACCATGTGAGTTTAGAGTGATTCCTAGAAGGTCTATATAGTAGAAAAATCTGATGGTTATTATAATGGACATTTTAAAAATTGTTAACTTAAAATGCCCATTGCTTTGTTCACACAGAACGAGCTACATAAAAATGCCACTCATAATGACTACATATTTCAGAAGAATATAGGGTAAGAATAATAGATGCTATTAATGAAATTACTGAGCGGTAGTTACAAAATGTCACCAGCAGTCTAATAAAAGGTGAAAGCCAGGAATGAAACAGGTAGCAGTTCTGTTCAGAGGTGAAGTTCAGTCTTAACAATTATAAACATTTTGTCCTAATTTTACTATTCTGTAATTTACCTGTGCATAGAATCATTGCTAATGCACTTGGACATTTACTGGCATAAAATTCCACAAATTTCTGTGTGTACACCTGTTTTAATATCCTATCACTACTGGGGATACATTACCACACACCTGGGCTGCAGTAAAATATAGAAATTAGTTTTCTGACAGTCCTGGAGATGAGAATCCAAAATGATTTTTACAGGGCTAAAATCAAGGTATTGGCAGGACTGGTTTCTTCTAGGCGGTTCAAGGGAAAAATCCTTTCCTGGCTTGTTAGCATGTTTTCAAGGTTCATCTGTACTGTAACCTGAATCAGTACCGAAAATAGCAGTATAGAGTAACATCCCAAATGTGGATTAAAAGTATTCTAGTCGGGCCTCCCCGGTGGCACAGCGGTGGAACGCTGGGTTGTGAAGCTGCCTGCAACCTCTGCAGCGCCGGTTCGATCCCCCTCTGCTCCGCGGCCACCGGAGGAGGGTCCCACATGGCTCGCAGACCTCTCCTGCCGCCCACTGCTCCCCTCAGCAGTGTACTTCGGTCCTTCTGCCTGCTCTGCTCCCCGCTCTGGCTCTGGTGAATTCTCTCACCCTCCTGCGCTTCTGACTGTACCCAGTGCATGCATAAACAAAACAAACAAATAAATAAATAAAACATGCCTCTATAAAAAAAAAAAGAAAACAAAAATCACTAAAAAAAAAAAAGTATTCTAGTGTATATGTGTTTCACATTTGTCACCATTTGATGGGCATTTGAGTTGTTTTCACTTTCTGGCTATTATAAATAATGTTGCTGTGAACCTTCTTGTGTATTTTTTGTGTGAACATTTGTTTTCAGGTCTCTTGGCATATACCTAGGAGTAGACTTGCTGGGGTGTATGATAACTCTGGTTAACATTTGGAGGAATGGTCCATTTATTATTTTTAATTTCTTTCCTGAGAAAAATGTTCCCCTCTTTGGAAATCCAAGGTGGTGGCTCTGGGGTGTGGGTGGTGGGCTCATTTTCAACTTCAGATGCCTTTCCAGAAATTTCATGTTGGGTATAATTTAAAGCGTGACACGGAGCTGCTGCTCTTCTCTTGACCTGGAAATGAAATAAAAAGCTGATCTGACCCGGCACTCTTTCCATCTGTGTTTTGTGGACTTCAGTGCTTATCATTTTCTATTCGATCTTCTAAGAGATTGTTGGCAATCTTAGTTGGTTTAGGAGGTGAGAATGCTTCCAGACAGAAATGTTATTTATCCTTCCGCCATGGTTTATCAAGAACTAGGAATGCATAAGTTTTTTCTTTTTTTAAAAGAAAAAATCATGGAGAAAATGACACTATCTATTACATTGGTCATATTTCTTTCAATGAATGAAAAAATGTAAATGAATTTTGTCAGCATAGTTACTGTGAAGATGCAATGGCAATTCTAGGTAAAGTCCTGAGAATAAAATTCGTTTGGATATTTCTTTGGCATCTATAGCAGTGGTTCCTACTGAAAAGAAAAATTGAGTTTCTACCTAGCTTAAACATCTTTAGTGATGAGTAAGATTTTGTTCAGAAGTTGTATACATCATGTCTACAAAGCAAGACAAATAGCCAGCCCCAAGGCCAGTGAACTTCCTTAGACTCTCCCTAGAAAAGTCTGCCAAGAAGGTGGGAGAAAAAATACTTGTGATCAAGTGAGACAGTCACCACAAGATCCTGGGACACTGCCACCCCAGCATGTCCCAGATGGTGAGATGGGAATAATAATGGCAGTGATGATGACAATGATGGTACATTTTCAACAAATGTTAGCTATGTACCTGGTTTGTGTTACCAGACGGTGGTTAATAAATGTACTATAGTCCACCATAGCATATTAGAAGGTTCAAGTAGTGCTGTAGTGAAGCAATCTGTTTAACTGTATTAAGATATTTTTAAATTTTATTTTGGAGCTTGAACACCACTTAGCTTGGGGGAGCTATCGATTGTCAACTTATTGGCCAATATTCTGTGGAATGCTTGGACTGTTGGAGCCTTGCAGGTGAAAACAATATGCCATTTGACTTCATAGTTTAGACCACAAACTTTGGTGTCAGCCAGATGTCATTTTTCCCAACTTTTGCTATTTCCTGGCTGTATACTTAAACACGCAAGCCTCAGTTTCTTCATAAACTAAAAATAACACAGTTGTGAGGACAATAAACTGAGAAGATGAATATAAAGCATTTAGTATTTGGTAGGTAGAGAAGCCCAATAAATATTAACTGTTTTATTGTTGCTCTAGTCGTTATTATTGCTGTTCCTACCTAGGTATATAACTCTTTCAGTAGATACTTGTCAAACGAGTGTATTTGTTTTTAGTTACATTATTTAATATTTTTTTTATCTTATTGACAGTTTTAAAGTAGTTTGAAATTTATAGAAAATACATGAATGTTTGATAATATCATAGCTTCTGATAAAATTTTAATGTGTCCATTTGCTACGATTAAAAGAAAGATTGAAATGTCCTTTTCTTTTTTTTTTTAAATTTTAGAGACCTACTACTATATTTCTCCACTGGTTGGTGTCTTTTTCCTGGCTCTGACTCCTATCTGGATTATAATAGCTGCCAAACACCCAGCCACAAGGACAGTTCTCCACTCGGGCTGGGAGCCGGTCATAACAGCAATGGTTATAAGTAGGTTAGTGGTGAAGTGTGTGTACTCTGTCTGCATGTACGTATATGTGCATTAAAACAAATTAACTGCCTATTTTTATTTGACTACTGCTACTTCAAGGATTCTGACAAGCCTTGATATAATTCAGGATATATGCAAATGATTTAGTTTGCAAGGATCCCATTACAGCACAAGTTTTAATAACAGAAAAAAAAAGCAATGTAGAAGTCTAGCAATCAGCTATTGGTCAGGTAAGTTGCAACACATAGTCATGCTTTGCTGAAGGACGTTTTGGTCAATGGTGGCCATCCAGTGGTGGTGACAGTAGGCTCCCTCATGGGGTTTTGGGGTGTTGTGAGCCGTGCAATCTCGGTTTGTGGAAGTACACTCTGTGAGGTTTGCATGATGGTACATGGCCTAGTGATGCATTTCTCAGACCACGTCCCCATTGTTAGGTGACACATCGCTCTAGTGTTGCCAGCCACAGAGGCTCACACTGTAACATTTCTGTTGACATGAAAGTTGTTCATTATACGTTTGGTGAAAAGAGCAAGTGAGAAAAGAGTATGAATTTCCTGTTAAATGTGGTTGATGGACACATTTATAGCCTTCGTGAAACTACTAACATGACAGTAAAAGAGTGAAAAAAGGTCTAATACTACAAAGACAGGTACTCAGAGAAGACAGCAGGTGAAAGATTCAACAAGATTAGTAAGATAGGTGTCAGATGGTGGTGAACTGAACCAGCAGAGTGAAATAGGGGGATACACATCAGAAATAAGTCGAGCTGACCCACAGAAACCCAGGACAGCAGAGGAATGAGAGGCATAAAGTACTTGTGAAAGCTGAAATGAAGACAGACTGCAAGTTTGTGTAAGGAACATCAAGATCCCAAAAGCACTTCTCCAGTTTGCCCACCCGAAGGGCAGACAAGACTTAACTCCAGAGATGCCCTGGTTCAGGGACACCCGCATGTGTGAGGATGCTGAGTGGACACTGTAGGAAAGAAAATGAAGTGAAAGTCTACGTGCTAACTGGGGTTTTCCATTCCCTTTTCTTTGCTCATAGAATGCTGGTGGCAGCTTTATGTCCCAGGCAGAAAACTAAAAAATTTCTTTCTGGGAAGACTCATCAGCACAACAGAAAAAAAAAAAAAAAAACCATGCATATATTGACCCTTGTGGGTCCTTTAGTGAGCAAGCTGCATGCCTCCCCGGGGTTTTTCCCTGCTCCCACTTACAGACCTTGCTGTGTATGTGGAGAGCTCTCCGTAGGCCCTGCAGCCCCCTGACTTACCAAGAGCAAAGTCCCAATGTTTTTATTCTTGAAATAGTGAAGGATCGTCAGACATTTGATTAAGGCTTCTAACATGAAGGATAGCGATCCCTCTGCCCCCCCCCCCAAAGTGTTACTCAAAGAAAGTGCAGGGACAGTTAAAAACAAACAAACAAAAAATGTCATCAGTATTCCGGGAGAACTAACAGAAGCTGTGGTCTAATAGGCTTTGCAACTCAGCTTTGAATAATGATTCCTTGGTTATTATTAAGTCAATCCTAAATATTTTGCCAAAAATTGGCAGGATAGTGGGAAGAAGGGAATTGTGAAGGGACAAAAAAGGGAAGGAAGAGTGAGACTCAGTCCTCATCTGCTGTAGCAGGAAGCCAGGCGGTAAACGTTTAAAATCACATATCAAGGAAAGAGCATATTTATAACCATGTTATTTAAAAATACAGAATTAAGTGCTAGAAGCAATAGCTAAAGAAGTTGAAAAGAGGGCCTCCCCTGGTGGCACAGCGGTTGAGCACTGGGCTGCGAAGATGCCCGCAGCCTCTGCAGCGCTGGTTCGATCCCTGGCCACCGGCGAGGGTCCCACATGGTGCGCAGACCTCTCCTGCCGCGCCCACTGCTCCCCTCAGCAGTGTATTTCGTCAGTCTGCCTGTTCTGCTCCCTGCTCTGTCTCTGGTAAATCCTCTCACCCTCTCATGAATCTGGCCTGTACCCTGGTTCTTGTATAAATAAATAAATAAATCTTTAGAAAAAAAAAAAAGAAGTTGAAAAGGGATCCTAGTGGAGAGCAGGATCTATACGTGGGGTTGAGGACTGTTTTATAAGCTTTGTGGACCTTTCGCTATTAAAATAATGCACGTATGTTTGGTAAAAATAAAATTTAATAACAGAAAATGACTTTCATAATTTCAGCCAGTTTTATTTTTTAAAATATGCTTGTTAAAATATGTCTGGGTGGCGATATGCCAGCAGACAAACTGTAGAACTCTGAATGCTGTACCTGTGGCTCATTTATATTTTCTTCTTTTGTGTTTCTATTTTCTAATTTTTCTATAGTAAGTTTTACGACCCAAGTAACAAACATTTTAAACTATATTTTAACAAGTGTTTGTGTTGTATCCACAGAATGATTTTTTTTCCTTGACACATAATGAGTTTGTCCTACGATATATGCATTTTTAAAATTAGCACTTAAAATATTAAAATATTTCTAAAGATGACTATTTTTGGACTTAATAAAATGGACTTTTTAATGGGAACCCCTAGCAATGTAGACATATTAAGCCATTATTAATTTGTTTTGCTAAAGAATTGAGATAATAAAGGCTTAACAATTTCCTAATGTTAACTGTTAGTAGTAAGAACATTTGTTCTGATATTTTGACAAGCAGCCCCATTCTGTGACACAGTTCCTTTTTCTGTAATGTGGACTGCATTTTCCTGGAGGACTTAGACAATAGAATCCCATGAAATGTTGGGACTGGCAGTGCTATCTAGTACATAGACTGAGAGACTGAAGTTAACCAATGGTTAATGGTCTCAGAAACAAAATTCTCCAAGCTCTGATGAGACATTGTGAAGCTATGGCTTGCCATCACACAGCTGCACCTAGGTGTTCCAGGCCTGTGTTCTCAAGGTCAGCTCTTTCTGTGGCTACTACTACGCATCATTTTAATCTGCCAGTGATAAACACACCCTACTTACATACAATGATAAAAGTCATTCCTTCATGCCCTTAGTTACTTCAAAGAAGAGAGAATACGCTTTAAAAATACTTTTTTTAAATTGTAACGGCAATAAAGGGTTTTTAAAAATTACTAACTACAGAATAGTACAAAAATGACCATCAGTTTCCCAGTCAATCTCAACCCGTAGGGATGGATGTTAATATTTTCTTGTCTGTCTTTCCAGACGTTACTTGCGTGCACTGAAAGTGTGCTTTTCCTCTTCATAAATAACATATCTTGGAGACCATAAAGTGAGTCCTCAAATGCAGAGCTACAGCTTATGCCATATTTTATTCTTAATATTTTGCAGTTGCCTTTGATTTTTTTTTTCACTTTGAATATTTCCTCATTTTCTCCATTTTTTTTTTTAAGTTTTTTTTTTTAAAGGTTTATTTATTTATTTATACAAGCACTGGGTACAGTCAGACGCGCGGGAGGGTGAGAGAATTCACCAGAGCTAGAGTGGGGAACAGAACGGCAAAGTGACAAAATACACTGCTGAGGGGAGCAGCAGGCGGGGCAGGAGAGGTCTACGTGCCATGTGGGACCCTCGCTGGCAGCTGGGGATTGAACCAGCGCTGCAGAGGCTATGGGCAGCTTCGCAGACCAACGCTCAACCGCTGTGCCACCAGGGGAGGCCCATCATTTTCTCCATTTTTTAATGCCTTAATATTTTGTTTTTAAAAGTAGAAGTGTTTATATATCAAGAACAAATTAGTGCATTTCCTTTCCTCTTCCCTAAGTTATATGATTTTGTCTTTCAGCATTGGGGGACTTATTCTGGACACAACTGTATCTGATCCAAACTTGGTTGGGATTGTTGTTTACACACCAGTTATTAACGGTAAGAATCAGATGTGCTGTTTTGTTATAATGTGAAATCTTTACATATACCAAAGTATTACTAGAAATTTTAGGACCATATTCCTACTCTTCTGTTTTCCCTTCAACCCCACTTTGTTGCTCATGATGGAAATTACATTCCTGTTCTCAGTATACAGAATACATTTTTGAAAAGGACTGTTTCTTAATCTTATCACTAGATGTTAATTGAAAAGCAAGTCATTCCAATTTTTGAGGTTAGTGTGCCAAATACGGTATTTCAGTTCTGCATGCTTTGGTCCTATCTACTATCTATGTTGTTTTGTTGCTACTCTTGTCAAATCTCATAGATGAATTTGAGGTAGATAAGATTAAGGAGTGCTTGAGTCAGTTTAGTCTATTTAAATCTGTCTCTTCTCTCCTGAATCCTTTAAAAGCTGTCTTATGTTTTTTCTTATCTATAAAATAGTAGTTATAACATTCAAGTTCATAGGGATTTTTGTATGAATTCAATTTAATAGATCATTTTAATCTACTGGCTTTGGGCTGGCGGCCATTAAATTATATATTTTAGTATAGCATAAGCCAATAAATTTAAAAGTAATTCTGCTTGGGAGAAAACATGTCACAGGACTTACTACACACTTACAATAAATTACTTTTGTATATTTATCTGTAAGAAAATGTTACACAAGAGCAAGTTCTTCAAAATCTAATTTTATGTCTAAAATTCTGTGAACATTTTCATTTTTGTGTACCTTTAGAATATCCCTGAATAAATTTTCCCTGTGAACCGTTTTTTAATTTTCTTGGTGCCCACTTGTCTGTTCACCCTTAAAATTATGGATCCACTTGATTCAACCTGCCCCTTCATTTTTTCATAAACAGTGACCAACCTTGTTTTTCTGTCTTTTACCATTGTTGTCTGCTAATGTCTCTCTCCAACCTTCAGTCAAGTAATAATAGATTAGCTTTCCGGACTCATTCCGCACTCAATGCAAATTAAACATTTTCTTTAAACATTGTTTTTATTGCATCTGGCTTAAAATGACCAACTTAACAGTGATTTCCTCCTATCTGTCAAATCAAGTTTGAGGTCTGCTGCTTAGCTTTCACGCTTGCTATACCCTATTGGATGCATCGGCCTTTATCACTCTAACTAGATTCCTTCGTAACTGTTAGAGCTGTGTTGCCCAACCTGTTAGTGAGAGATTCACCTTAAATCACAACAGCCCCATAATTAGTAAGGCTTTCATGAGTTTTTCTGTTGTTTCACCTTACATAAGAAACAGTGCTGGAGCTTCATAAAGTGTCCTCATTGGACATTGCTGCTATGGCATTGCCTGGTAGTAAAATCTTTTTCTGCATCTTAGAAAGTAAACCTTAGTTAGTTATAAGAGTGAGCTCATTTGATGTTAAATTCCACTTTTTAAAAACATTGATAGAGGATTCGTTCCATCTTCTTCAGAATGGTGGAAGCGAGTTTCATGTTTTCAATTTATTTTTTATTGAGGCATAATGGACATATAACACTGAATTATTTTTAGGCCTATAATGTTATGATCAATATTTGTACATATTACAAAATGATCATCACAATAAGCCTTTAGTTAACAACTATCATCACACAGAGTTACACATTTTTTTTCTTGTGATGAGACTGAGAACAATACATTATGCAGTAAGTATCATTAACTGTAGTTGTATATTACATTCCCAGGACTTATTTATTTTAAAACTAGAAATTGTATTCAACATGTGATTTCAACTCTTTACTCCTAATCCCATCTGTTCACTTTTAGATCCATACTTTAAACTGAATTTACCCACAAGGAAAGACCCAAAACACAAAATCTGAGCTCATTTTCTCCACTTACTCCCAAACCTGCTTTTCCTTCTGTGTTTCTTTGTCAGTTAGTGGTATTATATGTATCCAGTGTACCAAACGGTGCATCCCAAAGTCATCACATACTCCCTTTCTCTTATACTCTCTCCTCTTATCTGCTCTTAAAATACTACTTGAATTAGTCTCAACCCTTTGTCTCTATTATTCCTGTTTTTGTTCAGAATCTTACCTGAGTTCATCTGTATAAATTACTTCCCAGCCTCTTTTCTCACCCATATTGTTGCTAGAATCACCTTCCTAAAGAACAAAGTGGACCTTGTCCCTTGCTTGCTTAAAGATCACAGTTGAGTTACCTGGATGAAATTGTTTAGCATAACACCTAGATCCAGTCTGCCAACTCTTCAACCTTTTGTCTTGCTGAATTTTCTATGCTTTTTCAAATAGATCAAGTTGTTTCTCTATACCGAACCTTTGTACCTACTGTTCCCTCTGTCTTACTCCCCTTATTTACCAAGTTTTGCTCATTAATTCAGACCCAATAAAAGCATTACCTCTTCTGCAAAGTAGATATTCAGGCAGAGTTAGTTGCTTTTCTCTGATAACAATACATTAGTTATCTTTTCTCAGATTCCAAAGCATACTTTTATACATTTAATACTTTTATTATGGTATATACTTATTTTGTATAATTTCACTTTTGAAATGAATAGTGTCTAGCCTGTTTTGATTTGGTAATTGCTGGGTGAATAAATGCATGAGTTAAGGCACATGCTTCGTTTTGTTGCTGAATATGTCACTAAATTTGAGGAAATTATCTTGTTAAATAATGCAGCTTAGATCATAACCAAAACATTTTCATGGAGTTTAGCAGGTACTTGAGATGTGCTTTAAATAGGCAAAAATAGAAAAAATGGTTCCTCCTGTTTGTATAAAAAATCAGGTTAGGAGTTGGGAGAAACAGGCAAAAGGAGTGACTGTATGGCAATGGGGGGAAACTAGACTTTTGGTGGTGATCGTGATGTAAAGTATACAGATGGGGAATTATAAAGCTGTGCACCTGAAACTTATAAAATCTTATAAACCAATGTTTCCTCAATAAAAAATTATTAATAAAAAAATTAGCAGTGATGGCAACATTTATTACTTTCCTTCGTTTCTTCTGTGTGAAACTGGAGAAATTGATTTCTCAGCATTTCCTTCTATTTGGTATGTTCTAAAATCTCTTTAGATAGGAGTGAATGTTGGGGGAGGAGCACTTTAGATACTAAAAGAGGTTAGACCAAAAAATAAAAAAATAAAAGAGGTTAGAGATCCAAGGAGTGAATATTTTGTGGACAAAAGAAGAAAGAGCTGTATTAGAGATCAACTGTTGAGGAGGAGGAGCTAAGTTAGTGTAGCTAAGAAAAGTGATTCAAAAGGGACCTCCTGTTTAGTAACTAAGAAGTCATTTGCAAGTTCAAGTTTTTAGTTTAATAGGAGTAATGACTATATAAATGAAGGTATAGTCTCATAATAGAATACTGTTAGCAATAAAATGAGTGAATTTTATCTTACACAGCAACAAGGATGAATCTCAAGAACTTATATAATAGAGGGTTCCATTTATATAAAGCACAAAAGCATAATTAGGTATCCACATTTTATTTCTGGAAACTAAAAGAGTAATTTCTATGTGTGGATTTGGATAAGACATTGTGAAAGGAAAATAGGTGGAAATGCAGGTGTGTGGAGGTGGCTTCAACAAGTGAGTATGGATGGGAGATACTAGATCTGTTGTACAGTCAATTAAAGAAAGTGATTTCCAAGGTAATAATACTGCTTTAATTTCAAAATATAACCAGAGATTATGGTGAGCACATGGGAGGTTAACACTTTAATTAGCTCTTCCACATTATGTTGTTTACTTCAAGATTTTAGTCATCTTGGGTCTCCCCTGGTTGGTGCAGGTGGTTGAGCGCAGTGCTATGAAACTGTCCACAGCCTCTGCAACGCTGGTTCAATCCCGGCTGGCCAGCTAGGGTCCCACATGGCACGGCAGACCTCTCCTGTCTGGCCCGCTGCTCCCCTCAGCAATGTATTTCGTCAGTCTACCTGTTCTGTTCCCCGCTCTCCCGATCTGCCTCTGGTGAATCCTCTCACCCTCCGCACATCTGGCCTATACCCCATTCTTGTATAAATAAATAAATCTTAAAAAAAAAAAGATTTTAGTCATCTTATCTGGAAAAAATATGCCAGTCTGTTTCGAACATGTCAATTCATTTTATTTTTAGCTTAGTGCAATTGTCATATATCAGTTGTGCCTGTGTTTCCTGGACAATGGGGTGAATCAGGTCAGGGAGCACATGGAAGAGGAAAGCATAAGTCCACTATTTCTAAGGGCTTATGTGTATTCATCATCACATATGATAGTCTGGACATAGTAAAAAGGAAATGAAAGTAGTTCTGCAAAACTACCCATGTGGTTCTGTGGAAGAGAACGCTAATTATTGTTTCAACTCAATCAAGGCAAGTTGCAAGTAGCAGCTACATTCTCAGAGTAATGCATTATGCTTTCTGCACTTTTAAGGATTCCATATCTAATAAAATACCAGACAAAACATTATCCCCAAGAGAATTTCCAGCGTAAATGAAGATGAACCTACCATTTATGCATTCCTGTGGCAAATATCTGGCATTGAAGAATGTTTCTGAATACAGTCTTTCCTTTTCCATTTAGTATAAGCATCTCATTCTCTTTTTTGAGGGGCTATGAAGGGAAATCCTTGGCTGATTACAGGCTGTTCTTGTTGGCTTACCCAGTAACTCTTTGTGAAAGTGCTTGTATTGTAGAATATTAATATGTCCTTCCCATGCCCAGGGCAAAGGAAACAAACGCGTTTTTATTTTTATTTTTTTACAGATGTGGTAATTTCTAGGCTATGTTAACTTACTTCCAGTTAGAAATGTTACTGGCCTTGTTTATGTGCTATTATCAGATGTGTATCAATACCTGCCAGTTATTCAGTGTTCTGCCACCCTTGTTTACTTTAGAAAGTGAGCTCAGATTTAGAACATCCCCACTTTTAAAAATAGTCATCACTACCCTCTTGTGGAAAATCCAGTGAGTAAACAGAGGGCAATTTAAATGATTGTTTTAAATATGGGCATCAAGTGACTTACTCTCTTTTTTAAGAAAGAGAAATGTGAGTTAATTGAAAAGCAGCACAGTTCCTACACCATGTCCAGCAACTGTTGTATCTTTCATGTTTTCATTACTTTATTTAATGTTATCTCTGATGAGGTAGATATTAAATTATCCTCACTTTTCAGTGTATAGGATCGAATGCTGAGTATCACTGAAGTCTCAGTGAGTGGCAAGGCAGTTTGCAAACCCACGTGGTCCGAGCCAGAGGCAGCTCCACAGAGAACAGAGCTCTGCATTCATGAGCCTTAATTATTCCTCCTGGTCAATGTGACTTTGTTTCCCTTTTAAACATATTTTACAAGAAATTTGTTTTCTTCTAGGAAATTTTTTAGAACTCCTTGGGATGCATATTTTTAAACCTTTTTTATGATAAACTATATTTTAAGTATCTTAAGCACTTTTAATGAATTTTTTATTTGCTAAATGAGACATGGTAAGGAAATTGTGAAGCTACATTTAGTTTAAGATGGAGTTGTAATTTCATTTAAAAAATATAACATTCAAATTGCTTTATTTTTAGTGTATTAATATAAGAAATCAGTGTGTTAGCTTTAAGGGGGGAGGCTTCATGGTGTCCTTGTTTCTCTAATTTTTTCCCCCATGACAAAAACAATGTTAAATTCTTATTTATAGAATAGAGATTTATCACTATTAGAATGCATTGAACACCAAAATTTCACTACACGTCAGGTTGCATATAAGTCACGTAGACTGGCATTGAGCAGAATCACTCAACCTGTATTTCTGAACATAATAATTATATATAACCCCAGATAAACTGTTCAGACTTAAAGCTTGCTAAAGCTGGGTTTCTCCATAGTATGTACCTTATTGCTGGCACTAAACAGCACATCATAAATAGTCAAGCAAAGGATTTATCCTCTAGCCACTGTATGTATGAGGGAGCAACAGAACAAGAAATCAGTTATTTTGCATCCAGATATCTGGATGCAACAATTGGTGATCATCCTGGTCGAGGTCTGTTGCCTTCTGATTCATTCTGATGACTTCAAAGCTTTTGACTCGCTACCTAGTTCAGGCTTCCTGTTGAAATTATTCCCTAGGTCTTGTTTAAAAATCTCCCTCTGCAGGTCCTCCCCTGGTGGCGCAGCAGTTGAGTGCTGGGTTGCGAGGCTGCCCGCAGCCTCTGCAGCGCCTGTTTGTTCCCCGGCCACTGACGAGGGTCCCACAAAAAAAAAAAAAAAAAAAAGAAAAGAAAAATCTCCCTCTGCAAGTGTGAATCAAATGGAGCCCTGCATGAACTCATTCTAAGATTTCCAGCTCTTACAATTTCATATTTCTTCCAGATTTATAGTATTTTGCTTTATGTATCTGGAGATAATGCTTAGGTGCATCTACATTTAGGATTGTTACGACTTTTTGTTGCCTTCCTCAACCTTTATTCAATATATTTATGCCTAGTAATAATCTTTGTTATAAAGTCTTTTTCCCTGATGCTGATATTGCCACCCTAGCTTTCTTTTCATTTGTGTTTACGTGGTAGGTCTTTCTCCATACTTTTAACCTATTTATATCCACATTTTTTTAAAATTAATTATTTATACAAACACTGGGTACAGTCAGAAGCACAGAAGGGTGAGAGAATTCACCAGAGCCAGAGCGGGGAACAGAACAGGCAGACTGACGAAGTAACACTGCTGAGGGGAGCAGCAGGTGCGGCAGGAGAGATCTGCTCATCATGTTGGACCCTTGCCGGAGGCCAGAGATCGAACCAACACTGCAGAGGCTGCCGGCAGCTTCGCAACCCAGAGCTCAACCGCTGCACCACCAAGGGAGGCCCCATATATCCACATCTTTTAATGCATGTTGTATATCTTTTGCACTAGGCCCTTTAACATATTAATGGTGATCATAGCTATTTTGAAGTCTTTGTCACATAGTTTTGACACTTGTATCATCTCTGGGTCCCCCGACTTCTTCCTTTTGACTGTCTATATTTTTATTGAATGCTGGACATTATATATACCAGAACATTGGAAATTGAGATAAATATTATTTATGCCTGGAAATAACATTTTCTTCTGTTACTCAGGAGTATGGAGGGTTGAATCTAGTTAGTGGATGAGCTGGGTTTGTGTGGGGATGGTGGTGGTTATTATAGTGACATCTGGTACAGCACTGCCTTCCAGTTTCTGTATTGAGGGGCCTGCTACCTTATGCTTAGTGTGAGGTCTGGAACGTTGGTCCCTGCAGCATGGAAGGCTTGACTGTGCTCCTGCTCTTCTTCTGTGGGGGCTGCTGCTATTTGCTTGTTACTTGGTCAAGGCATGGGGTGGGATGTGGGATTCTCTTACTCTACCCTCAATTGTAGGCAACCCCTTTGCATTCTCAGAGATAGGGGATCAATATTTTTCCCCTCCCCCATTGACAGTCAAATGTAACTTAATTTGTCAGCAACTGGTAGATTTTCTTTTGTTTCAGCAGCAGACATCCTTTGCTTCTATTCTTCCTCCAGTGGCAACTGGTCTTTGCCTGGGACTAGGTAGCTCAAGTATTTCCTCCACTGCCCTAAGCAGCTTTTGCAACATATGAGGGGTTCAGGGGCAGATGGGATTTCCTGCCTGTGTGCTGCCGGGGTGACTTTTCAAGTCCCCTGCTGGACCTCAGTCTGTTTCACAAGCACCCGACAGAGACTTGTGGAAATAGCTGACAAGTGAGTGTGGACACCCAGGGCTCCAGGTATTCTAGGAAGTTACACATTTACGAATTTGAATTTTTCAGTTGTTTCCTTATGATATGCTTTTAAGGCTACTACCCCTTTCTCCCAAACTCCATAAAAGGAAAAGTCATTTGTTGCCCTCTCACATTGGAGGAACTTCCCACCTTTGGAAATCATTTCACCTCTTCAGCTTCTTTTCTTCAGAGTATATGAGAGGATCATCTAGATTAAAAGATGACTTTCCTGAAGTCTTTGTGGTTTGTTGTCTTATACCAATTTCTTTAATAACCCTAGAAGAAAAGTGTCAGGCTTTGTCTATTAGAATTTTTTTCTTTTTCATTAAAGTGATAACCATGAACCATTTTGTCATCTAGTTTTATATCTTACCAGTAATTTTTAAAAAATACTTCTTGCTCCAGTCTGTTTTCAGCCCAGACAGTGAGTCAGCTTTGGAAGAGTAATGAATGAAGCCTTCATCACAGTGATTTTATGCCTTTGGGATATCTACCTCAACTTTAAATAAATCAACATTATAGAAGAATTCATTTTTTTATTGGCCCAGGATGTGACATAAGGCAGCTGCATGTGGTCATATTTATGCAAATTTAAAATATGAAGAAAACGGCTTCATTTCTCCTATGTTTCAGGTATCGGTGGTAACCTGGTGGCCATTCAAGCTAGCAGGATTTCTACTTACCTCCATTTACACAGCATCCCCGGAGAACTACCTGATGGACCCAAAGGCTGTTACTATCCCTTTAGAACCTTTTTTGGCCCAGGTACGTGCCAAAAAGGACTTCTGCATATTGTATTTCAGGAGCTCGTCCTCTCAGAGTACAGACAGGCAACATTTGTCGAATACGTATTTTGTTTGTGGTATTCAACTTTTCCATTTCTGAGATGAAATAGGATTTTTTTTTCACTCAGTCTCAGTGAACAACAAAAAGAATTTGTATCAGTTCTGTAGCTGCTGAGGGCTTTCTATAGTATTTCTCTTTTATCTCTGTCTCTGGGATAAGAGGAAACCTGTGCACACAAGAAAACATTGCTTGGTGACTTATGGAGACAGATACCCTGTCCTTCTTCACAAAAGTCATATTTTGGCCTTTCTACATGTAGGCCTTTGATCCCAAACAGGAGAGAGGGAATAATAAGCACAGATATATGAAAAGTATGTTGTTGATGTCACCTTGGCATGTGATTACCAAAAAGCAAGGACCACAATTTAATTTTTATTCAGTATTTTTAATTGAGCTAACATTGCTTTATGACATTGTGTCTGATCTAGGGAAACAGGTTCACACCTCCTCAGATGCATGTCACCACGCCTCTCCCACCATCAAAGCACCCCTAGGCCTTTTCCCTAGCCCATTGGGGCCTTCTTCTTTTTGTTCCCTCTCTACTCGCCTCAGTTCTGCAGTCATATCGCTAGAGTTTGTTTTGGTTTAGTTTCCTCAGTTCCTTTGTAATCTCTGTATTCCCCATGAGTGAAATCATCTGGTATTTGCTAAGGTGACAATTTTCAACATTGTAATTCTTGTCATTTTTTTCTGATGAAAATAGATGTAGTTATTAACTTTTGCGTGAGGATCAGAGATTCCTAGCCTTATAATATCAGTGAAATAACTTTAAAGGAAAAGTAAAATTAAAAATTTCAGTACATTAATGACTTCATTTTTTAAAAATATATTCCCTCTGTTTTTATGGTAGATATTAGAGTCTGGCCAAAACTTCATAGCTGTTTTTTCAACTACCTTTCATTAATTTACATATAACAAGTAGGAAGAATTTGGAATTACCAAGTGAATTATAGCTGAAATTTATTTTTAGCAATTAGATTTTATGTGATGCTATATAATATGGTAGCTAAAAAATTCTCCAATTTTAATAACTGTGATATATTATTAACTAAAAATATGATTTTTAAACAACTTTTACATTTTATATTACAGGAGTAAATAATAAGTCTGCTCAAGTTCTACTGCTTCTAGTGATTCCTGGACATTTAATTTTCCTCTACACTATTCATCTGATGAAAAGTGGGCACACGTCTTTAACCGTAATCTTCATAGTAGTGTACTTATTTGCTGCTGTATTACAGGTAAGAGTTAAAAATCTCCTTTATGCTTAGAACTTTGCAAAGGTATATATAGCTACATAAATCTAAAGGCACATGAAATATTTTAATTTCTCAAAAACCAGTAGAATGCCTTCGTATTAATTTCCTCTTAGGAGCATTAGGCTCAGGACCACTTTTAACATAGTATAGAAAATAGAATCTTTGGATTTCTTGTTTCTTGAATTTCATGTCTTCTTCTTTTTATTGTTCTCATGTTTTGTGTTAACAGATCTTCTGATATATTCCTGAAAAAAAAAAAAAGCATACTTTTTTGACCCTTTGCATACTGTATAATGAATGCTTTTATGTGAGTAGGTTGACTAGATGTAGAAATCTGTTTGTTTGAGGATTTTGAAGGCATTGCTTCATTACCTTTTAGCTTTTCCTGGGAAAGACAGTCATGGGCCTTACTCAAAGCTGATTTCATAGTGTGTAACTCCTTCTGTCTCACTAGGTGCTTGCAAGATCTTCTCATTCTTCCTATTACTCCTAAATTTCACCTGGGTGTGCTTTGCTTTGAGTATATTTTGTGTGTTTTGATAGATTTATTGTGATGCTATGCAATACAGTGGCTAAAAAATAATCCTCAAAATTTAATAGTATTTGACCCTTTCAATTTCAAAATTCACGTTCTTTAGTACTAAGAAAATTATATATAAAAAAAAAAGAAAATTATATAAAGCTGGCTGTGTAATAGATGCTATAGAAGTGCTAGCTGGTAATGTTATTTTTGTTTAAATATTTCTATATAGAATGATACAGAATAGAATTATAAATGGTCATTGATCTCTGAGTGACCGTTTGAAAGTTTTTTTTTTAACTTACAGTGTTGATTGAATTTTCCGATGTTTCTTTTATAGTTTTCATTTTTATGGGTTTGGTGTTTATTTTTGCTTCAAGAATCAGATATCTGTCAGAGTAAAGCTTTGTGGTTGTGTCTGACATTGTGTGTTATTCCAGTGGAATACCTTGGAATCAGATCGTACATTCTCAAATCTTTGAGCTCTGACTCTAACATACATAACACAGACATAAGTACAGACACACACACACACACACAGGCACACATACCTCTTTGGAAACCAGCGTTTAGATAAAAGATCTTGATCTTTCCCTGCTGTGTCAGTCAATACAAAAATGGACACAATGAAGAAATACTTCTTAAAGACTTCCTGACCTCTTGAAACTCACCTTTTAATATTCTTTGCACGATTGGCCTCCTTTTTTTGATCTGCTTTAATTTATATTCAATCCCACTCAAATGTTTCATTCCATGCCACTTGTCCTACTCCTAAACTGTATGTTTTGATTGAATTCATGTAATAAAGTTTTCTAATGCATGTATAATTTCTCTTCATTTGGATTCCTACCTCATTGAGAATAGAAAACAAATCTTTTTAGTATTTCCCCACAAGACATGATATAGTTGGTTGTTTTTTAATTTTTATTGTTCCAGTCTCTTCCCAGACTAACATTACTTGAGGAAATTTCCCTCTCAATTCCCTGTCATACTAAATGAAGAATATCTGTTTGAAGGAAACTTGATATTGAACCTATTATTATATCATTGTAAAACAGCACTTTTGCATTTACACAGATCATCTCTTTCTGCAAGCCTTCCTTGAATAATACCTAATTTGGTCTGAGTGCCCCTGTTCCCGTTACTGTGGTATCCTCTGAATACCATTAACCTCACATATTCCAGCTTCCATTCACTCTAGAATGCAATCTAGAGTCTGTCTCACCCACTCTAGAAAAAAAGGTCTTTGTTTTACTCATTCTTTAGCCTCTAGCATCTACCCCTATTGTTCAGTTGGCACTTGTTAAACCAAATGACTCTATAGTGGCAGCTCCTCTGTCATCTGTGGTGGAAGGAGAAAAGTAGAACTGTATTTAGGTACCAGAAATTCTCCAAAACGGAAAATCTAAATTGTCTTCTCTTTGCTTTCAATAAACATCAGTGTCCTCTCTTTCATTGTCAGTTATTCCAAGTAAAAGGCAATGAAAAATAAAGCATAAACCTCCACGAATACTATCAACAGTCAAAATTGTAAGGTTTTACTGATATGTTTAGTGATGAAAAGGCTTGGTATGTAGGGGAAGTAAAAGGGGAATGGATCGAGCCATAAGGCTCATGTGTTGGTAAGTGATGAAGCTGAATGGTGGTGCCTGAGGATGGTGTGCGTTAATTTGGGCTGTGTTCTCTCCTATTGTATATGTTTGAATTTTTACATAATAAGGAGTGTTCAAAATTAAAGTTTTATTTCAGATGTTAACATTGGAGTCTTTTTCAAAGAATATTAGCTCTCTAATTTTGGTCCTGTAGCTATTTCTTCAAATAAAAAAGTAAAAATTGTCAACTTGAGTTTGATGCTGGAACTTGAAGTGGCAGAGTGTGTGTTTTATTTTGCTCTATGTGCACAGTGACTCCATTTTGGGGGAAGCTATTGCTATGGATATGTTGCAGATTGTTTAGGTATTTTTTTACGTGTCTTACAATTAGAAGGAACCTAACAAATGTGTTTTGTTATGTGTTATGAAAGCCACTGAACCACAGCCTGTAGGTTTGATGGACTATGTTCTTGCCCAGTCCAGTGGTCAGACTAGGTCAAGGTCAGAGGAATGTGCAGAAGACATTCATACTACCAGCCCTGTTGCATTTTGGGTTGATTTGTTTCAGCAGTAAGCATGGGTTGGCATCAAACTAATAGTTCTGTGTCACCCAATATACATCTTGTGCCTTCAGTCAGATTTATAAAACTTCTAGCTGTGGTTAAGGATATGATCGTTGGCTTTAGAACACAGATTTTCATCCATATCAAATTAGTCCATTGAACCTACATAATTGATTTTCTAGAACTCGTGTACTTTCTTCCATCAGCGTTCCTTCTCTATTGCAGTGATTTCCTCTGCCCTCACATCTTACTCACTTGCTCCGTTGACTGCTCAAAGCCTGTTAATTTGTGAAATCAAAAGCTTTTTTATATGGAAGTCGAGACTGTGAGGAACCTTGTTGACCTTCTCCAAGGTAGAGAAGGGAAATTTGATGCCTCTCAGGGTGTTCTTTCCCTCATTCTTTCATCTGCCTTGTTCCCTACAGTGTTTTTCAAGGACATAGTACCTTGACAGCATCATAAACCTGAGAAGGTACAAAGATAACTATCAATCAGATATGCAGACTGGCAGTCATCTGAGCAAAGGAGGCACAGCAGTTCATCATGGTTCATTTCCTTATTTAATTTAAAGTCTCTACTAGTTCATTCCCCTTTGTGTCAGAAATCCTAAATATACTTCCTTTGTGAAAAGACAAAAGCAGAAAATTTGGATGACATGTCCTGTAAGACAGGTGTATATGGCATAGATAAGTATTTTTTCTACTATAAAATATCTCAATGGGATAAGAAAAAAATCAGACTTTTCTAGTCCCGTATGTCTATTGAATTCCAGCAAAATGTTTGTTAATGTGTCCAGTAAATAATGAATCAAAACCGTACTTAAAGGGAATCACGAATTATCTGTTTTAGGCCCTGGTCATTTTATACGTAAAATTAGATTGTAGGTTATTAAGAACTCAACTGAAATTCCAGCAGCATCACATTCCATAATAAATTCACTGGGAAAATTTGGTGGTTGTAGCCGTTTTTTTCCTGGGTAGAAATGTTTCCTTCAAATGGTGGAATGACAGCAATTTCTCAATATGTCAAATTGATAATTGTAAATCTCAGAATTCTATCAAGGACACAGTGTGTATCAAGTGCTGTGCTCATCTCTGTACAAAGGAAGTGGGAGGCGTGTCCCCAGCCTTGAAGTTCTTCTCTTAGTTTTGGAAGATTAAACTCAAATGCAGGAAACAGCAGGAGACGAGCCCAGACTTCCCACCTCTCACAACACAGTCCTCTGTAACTTCAGAATCCAACTTAATTTCTGTTACTACCTTTCAGTAGGCAGTGCTTGTTCTAGATTGGATACTTGAGTATAAAGAGCACCATCTTATATTTCCCAATAGGTCCACATTCTCAAGAAAAAATTGTTCTCATCATCTCTCACGCCCACCTCCAACAAGCAAATCATTGCCTTTTATAGTACAATTTATAAGCAGGGCATTGATGAATGAATGGTCCCAGAAGTATTCCTCTTTTATAAATAAGTTCATGGTCATTTTGAAGCATATGTTTGCAACAGGAACACTGAGAATATAGTTGACATACTTACCATCAGAAGCAACATCTCAGTTCTGAAGACACGTTCACATGTTGTGTCATCATTTGAACTATGAAGACCTGAAAGTAAATGTTTCCACAGAAGAAAAGTATTTCTAAGTCAGAGTTCCATCACATAAAAGTCAAAGGAAAGAAGAGGGAAAAGAAGGCCCTAATCCGCAGGATACTGTGGAAAGATCACAGAGCTCTGTAAAGTTGGACCTGAGTCTGAAGTTCTGCACTGAGACTTAATTTGTGTCCTCAGTCAAGCTCCATAACCTTTCTGAAGTCTTCTTTTTATACCAACCTCAGCGGACAGTAATACGGACTGAGCTAATGTATGTAAAGTGACCGGTTGAGTTCCTGGAACATAATAAGTTTCCAGTAATGGTAGTAGTGCAGTTTGTCATCATTATTGTCATCAGCATCATTTTTTCCCCTGCTTTCATTATTAGGGCAGGTTATTCAAAGCCCCAAGGACTTTTTCCTCTCACCACTCACCTTTTAGTCCCTGTCCTCTGCTGCAGAACTCTTATCTTGCTCTTCTGATGAGTAATGTAATAGCTACCAGCCTTTCATTGCTTCCTTCCAGATTCATATCTCCAGTCTGGACTTTCCACTTAGTTTTACATTTTCAGTAAAATATTGAAAAAAACATCTCTAACTTACTACATCTGGAACTAAGTTCCTTATTTCTCCCATAACCTTTCTTAAGCCACAAGTGGATACAAGAAAAAGGCCAGGCTTAGAGGATACAAGCAGAGGCTGCTAAATCTCTCAATT